AAATTAGTAAATTGTTATAAATTAAGATATAATCCGTTGATTTTGCCTAACATAAATTAATGATTTTGATATAAACAATTTAGATTTAAATGATTAAGGAAATATATACATATTATGGATTTTAAATGATTAAGGAAATATATATTCAAAGAAAATCGAATAGGATAATGATTACTTAAGAAATAATTCTTCAATTTTTAATATATAATGAAATGACAAAAGTTTATTAATAAAAATCTTACAAATAAAAAGTTATATTATCAAATGTATTTAAAAAATGTTAATATAGATTGATTTGGTTGGTCAAGTTAAAAATTAAAATAGTTTAAAAAGTCAACTACATTGAATATTCCATACTAAGAAAACATGGAATGGTTTCTATTAAAACAAATATTAAAATACTCATTGTTTAAAATTTCGATCAAGATCTTTATAAAATATTTGAAATTAAGAAAATCTTGCCAATTAAGCTAAATTTTAGGCATTGTATCTTACAAATAAAGTTAAATATCAAACGTAATAATTATTTTTCCTTTAATATTGAAAACTAATTTTTTTTTTATCAAGTGAAAAATGAACGATGGAGATTAAATCTCTAAACCCGATTAAAATATCCGTTTAGTTAGTTAGATCCGCGTGTTAACCCAGTTAGAAATGATAATTATTTCATTTTGAAACTATAGTGTAAATTCATTGTGTACTTCAGCTTTAATAGTATAGATATATATTCGTAGTTAAAAGGAAAATTAAACTAATCTCGTGATTATTACAGAACATAGGAGGACACGAGAAAAGTACTTTTGTCTGATAGTCAAGTGGTAGTCAAATGGTTGCAGACAGAGACACTGCCACAGTTCTTTAAACGCCACCACTGCCTACACACTTGACACTAGTTCTACACCAAGCAAGGCATGCGAGATCGAACCTATCAAAGAGTCGGTGTTAATACCTGATACTGAGGATTTAGCTAAAAAATAATAACAACTTAGTTAACAAATTAATCGTAATTAAGCAAAAATTTGTTAACGAAATTGGTATTTTTGTTTTTGAACATAGAAGTTACAGTTTAACCAAAACTGTTTTTAGTATAATTAATTTGAATTAATATTGATATTACTTAAATTTTATTGTTTTGACAAACAATTTGTTGTAATTCATATTCCAAATTAGATTGAAAGTTCATCACACAATTTTATGATTTCAATATTTATAAAATTTAATTAAAAACAAAAATTGAAAACGTACTAAACTAAAAGCAATTCGTAAAATATAAATGTGCATTGATAACCCTTTTAACGTAAAGGACAGATTTAGAGAAAGTTTTTATGTTCTTATAACTTTTGTTATTGACTTATAAATTAACAATTTATAACGGAATTTCTTTTTAAAATCTTTTTAGCTAGTGGTGGACCGACTGATTCTCAAAATTAATAAAATAAAATCAGCTTTCTAATTACTTCTTAGTTAAGTTTTTAATATATTGGAACCCTTTAAGCAAATCATATATCATTATATGATTCTTATTCTTATGATCTATTCCAATTTCATGTGGACTTTTAATTTCTAATATTGATAATTGGAAGGTTTCAGCTAATTTAATTAGAGAGGATTAAACACAGACAATGGTGTTGTTTACAGTTTTTTTTTTCTTTGTACTTTTTTCTCAAACTATTCAGTTGAATAAGATAGATTACATGCATCTTTTAATAAAACACTACTTCGATTAACTAGTTAGTCTTGAACTTGTGAATAAACTCACATGCGTACATAACGAATCGAACCAAATTTTTATACTATTTATATGTCAGAATTTTATACATTTCTTTAGAGACACAAAGAGAGAGATCTGTAAAAATACGAAACATTAACCTCTTTGTTTCTTAAACCAAACAAAACACTCAAAGTACACACAATTCAAGTGACTACAAAAAAACTAAAATACAAAAAAAAAAATGAAGAAGAGAGAATTTAGATATATATTTGGTTATATCAGCCGATGTACATGTGGATTTGAAGAGCAAGCAAGAGAATACAAACAATAGTGAAGTAAATGAGAGTATGAACAATAACAGAAAGACCACTTGTCTGAAACGTTCCAAACTCAACCACTCGTCCTCTCCCGGGGATTTGAATCAGCAGCCCCGGGGTAAGCAACACGAATAGCGTCACCGCGACAAAAACTGGTCCCCAATCAGGCATCTCTCGCGATCAGCTCCTCTCTTCTCAAGCTTGAACTGTTGTGGACTTGAACCTCAAGTATGTATCTTAAGAGGGATATAGTTTAGTTCAATGCAACAAATGCATAAATGTGTCTATTTATATGTGGAGAAATTGTATAGTGGAGAAATCAGATTAGAGTTCTTTTTCTTTTCTGTTTTTTTTTTTCTTTAGGGGAATAGAGTGATCCATTGGTTAATGTCGGAAGAAAGAGTGTTTTGGGAGGAAAGGACAAATTTTGTGACATGGAAGGATTTAAAGTTAGAAGAAAAAAGAGAGATTATGATCCATCAAGTTGTGTGAGGATTCACAATTTCATTGGAATATGATGTCACATGGGATTAGCTTTGGATCAAAGGAAACAAAATATACAAAAGTGATCGATCTATTTTTATTGGTTTTACTTTACTTCACATTTATTGAAGCTTTTACGAGAAAATATATAAACAATGTTTCCTATAATTGAGAACTACTTTAGCATCTTTTTGTACTTGGGATGTAATTTAGTTTGACTAGTATCTTTGTGAGCCAACAACTATCACAGCTCAGACTTAAGAAACCAAGACATTTCTTATAACTTTTCCATCAAGAAAACAAAACATAGCATAACCTCAACAACTAAACAAGTCTTCAGCTCTTAATGAAATGGGCTTCCATGGTCATTTCATGCATTAGGAGGAGGAAAGCCTATAGCAGATTATACTTTGTTTCATATAATATATATATATATATATATATTTGATAAATTTGTAGTTAAAAATGAACTAGTTTGACTATCTTTGTGAGCCAACTGTCATAGTTCAGACATAACTGATTGCTTTTTCATCAAGATCACCAAGTCAACAACTCTTTGACTTGTCTGGTAAACAAAATCTGAATCCATTGAAAATGGAGGTTGAATCCAGAAGACGTGAACTGTTGAAGCCAGGCAAAACAGATGTTGAATCTATTAAGTGCACAAAATGCTTTTTATCATTGCCGTAAGTTTTCTTTGTTTATTATATATCACCAGGTTGATGACAATAATGTTTAAACAGGTGAGACATTCAGGAGAAGCTAAAGTTAAACAGAGTTAGTGGCAAAATATTAAGAGATCGTGAAGCAGGTTTCTCAAGTTTCCATTATTTCCAAACCTGAATAGCCCTGTTTTCCAAAGCTAAACCCACACTAGGCTTCTTAACATGTTATTTTGTAAATACTGAGCCTTGTTTTTGATTTATGCAGTTTCATGAATACATAGTGGTCGTTTCATGCGTTTCTACCAAGCCTCTAAAGGTCAAAGGCAAAAACAGAGTACATAACCAATCATAGACATTGGTATACGCTTATAATCTGGTATAATTCAAGATAGACATACAAGAATGATAAGAGTTTAAAAATGTTTACCACATTACACACAAGGATGCAATTACACAAAGCTAAATTGCAAGAACTGTGTTCATGATGATGACTATACATATTTTATAATCCAACACAAAGCTAAACAATACAGAAACATAAATTAACATTGATATTCATAATGTCCATTTCAAACAAACAAACAACAACAGATTGCTAAATTTGGCATCAAACTTAGAAAAGTGTGGTCATTTTGCATATTCTAACTAAATTTATCAAAAGAGAATCAGGTTTCCATCGATTCTATAAGACCAAAGGATATGCAGTAGTAGTAGAATACCATTTCAATAACATAACCCAAAACAGATACATAAGTATTTTAAATCACACAATGTAATGTTCCAATAGCCTAAGTAAACTCTTCTTAGTGTATGAATGCAGAATTCTAGGATGAAAAAATTCACATGTTTAACACAATCATCATAGGTTTCGAGCAAAACAACTACTTTCAAAATACAAGAAAACTACAATCATAATCTGTAGAAGTCACAACTATTGTCAAAATAAATATCTTCAGAGACTTGAAGATGCATCGATTATATAAAATCACTAAATAAGGAGACCTTCTAATAACACACAAGCACTGAGAAACAGAGAGAATTAAAAATTCTAAACTCACAATATAATATAATGTTCCAAACTTCCAATACCCAAAACAAAATCACCATTTTTTGTCAATGATATCTTAGCAATAAGTTTATAGAATTTGACAGATAGATCAAGGATAGTAATGATATTAAGACAACTAACAGAATAAAACAAGTTTAGTTATACAGTATATACCTGAGAATTTGCAATCAGAGAGAATATTAACCTGAGAAATCGAGATAAGCATATACCTCAATTGTGATTTCCATATACAAACAAGTTTGCAACGCACATAAAACAAAAACAAAAAGGTTAGAATAGCACATAAAACAAAAACAAAAAGGTTAGAATAGCGTCTACCTGTCAAAGAAGTATGCTACACTTGAGTCTACTCAAAGTCTTAATATCTCCAGAAGCACATACCTGTCGAAAACAGAATTCGTTAGTCTTTCCTATTTAAGTTCATTGTCTTCTCTTAAGGCTTCTTTTCTCTGCTGGTTGGTTTTACCAATCCAACAAGTCAGTCTTTTCTCTGCTGGTCATTTTTACCATCCAACAAGTCACACATCCATAGTCTTTTGACTTTTTGTCTTTGTCTTATGTCTCATTAAGTCGTAGGTCCTTTATATTTTCCAAGCCGAGAATACCAAACTGTGAGAACTCTTAGGTCCTTTTCTGTTATTAACCCGTAGGTTCATTCCCAGCCAGCAAATCGAAATCCCTTTTCCTACTCGCAACAATGCATGCACTACCAAGCCAATAATCAAGGATCTCTGTTCTTTTTATTCCCATCCAACACGTCAGTCTTTTCTCTGCTGGTCGTTTTTACCATCCAACAAGTCCATCCACAGTCTTTTGAATCTTTGTCTTTGTGTTATGTCTCTTTAAGCCGTAGGTCTTTTAATTTTCACAAGCCGAGGGTACCAAACTGTCAGAACTCTTAGGTTCGTTTCTGTTATTAACCCGCAGGTTCATTCCCAGCCAACAAATCGAAAACCCTTTTCAAACTCGCAACAATGCATGCACTACCAAGCCAATCATCAAGGATCTCTTTTCTTTTTATTCCCATCCAAAAGTATTTGGACTCTTTGTCTTTGTCTTCTGTCTCATTAACCCGTAGGTTTATTCCCAGCCAACAAATCGAAAACCCTTTTCCAAGACGTAACAATGCATGCACTACCAAACCAATCATTCTTTTCTTTTCATTCCCATCCAACAAGTCAGACTTTTCTCTGCTGGTCGTTTATACCATCCAACAAGTCACATCCATAGTCTTTTGACTCTTTGTCTTTGTCTTATACTCTTATGTCTCATTAACCCGTAGGTCTTTTCATTTTGCCAAGCCGAGGGTACCAAACTGTGAGAACTCTTTGGTTCTTTTCTGTTATTAACCCGCAGGTACATTCCCAGCCAACATATCGAAAACCCTTTTCCAACTCGCAACAGTGCATGCACTACCAAGCCAATCATCAAGGATCTATTTTCTTTTCATTCCCATCCAACATGTCATTCATTTCCTGCTGGTCGTTTTTACCATCCAACATGTCATTCATTTCCTGCTGGTCGTTTTTACCATCCAACAAGTTTTTATTCCCATCTAGAAGTCTTTTGACTCTTTGTCTTTGTCTAATCTCTCATTAAGTCTTAAGTGTTTTAATTTTCACAAGCCGAGGGTACCAAATTGTGAGAACCCGTACGTTCATTCCCAGCCAACAAATCGAAAATCTTTTTCCAACTCGCAACAGTGAATGCACTACCAAGCCAATCATCAAAGATCTTTCTTTGTCTTATGTCTCATTAACCCGTAGGTCTTTTAGTTTTTCCAAGCCGAGGGTGCCAAACTGTGAGTTATTAACCCATAGGTTCATTCCCAGCCAACAAATCCAAAACCCTTTTCCAACTCGCAACAATGCATGTATTACCAAGCCCATAGTTCTCAATTTTTCTCGGGACAATGTCCCCAAAATAGAATCTGACAAAACAATATTAGATTAGTTTCTGCCCATGATCTGTTTTGGGTTTTGGAAAAACAAAACAAAAACAAACCCCCCCTAATCAGTTCTACTAGTTCGATTCAAATCCTCAAAAAAAATTGAAAACCACAAAATCAAAAACAAAAACAAAACCGGAGAGATAGAAAAAATACCTCGCCGAAGCCGAGTCAACCTTCCATGGTTAGATTCAAAACATAAACCCTAAAACAAAAGTTAACGAAACCGAAAAAGATTAGTTAAATTTCGAAACCCTAAACAAATTCACAAGGAGGATTAGAGGAAGAAACTTACGAGGAAGAAGAAAGAAACCCAACCAATTGAAATAGTATTGTGTCGAATCAAACCAAACAGTCCTAGATCAGTACAGGATAAAGAACAGTTAGTAAAATCTGGAAACCTTAAAAACTAAATACGAGGAAGATCAACAAGAGGAGGAAGAAGAAGAAGTCCAACTACTAGTTTGATGCCTGAATCAAACCAAAATCACAAAACCCTAGATAGATCATATATATATATATATATATACGATTGAAACAAAACTTATGAATTCTAAAACCAAATTAGCCATACAGAGAGATTGAAATACATACCTAATCTTCAAAACCAATTTTCTCACGATTCGTCCAAGGTTTCTTCGTAGAGGAAAAAAAATTGAAGAAAGAAAAAGAAATTGGGGGAAAAAAAAAAATGTTGTGTGGGAAAAAATTGAATGAACAGTTTCTTCTCTTATATTATATTATCGGTGATGCGTTCTGTAACGGATATAATTATACCCAAGATGACCGTTGATTTCGGCAGAATCGTACGGTCCAAAATTTAAACAAACAGCAGACGCGTAACGTTTTTTTCTCAAACGTTAAATGTAAGCCCAATAAGGCCCATTATTTTGTTTTTGTCTTTGCGACCATTTGCTTCTCTCTTCTTTCGAAATAATCGAATCCCATACATACAACAAAAAGCAGAAATCGAAAGTGATTTTGATTTACTCTTTACTCTTTGATTTTGAAATTTCTTGAAACTTTTCGTCTGATTTGAAACTGGGTCATCTAATTGTGTTCATATCAATTTGGGAGTTTCTGATGAATCGCCGATCTCCCTCTTGCTTCGATACCAAAAATTCAGAGCCGCAGCGGCGTTTATTCTGATGACATCGGCGATTACGTCACGCCTCAGTCGCAATGTTGTGTTCCCTCGTAAGAATCTTGATTCGTTGTTGGCTCCACAATGCGAGAAACTTATCGACGACCTAAGGTGTTGCGGAGACATCGTCGGGGTTTCTCGAATTCATGGCTACATGGTGAAAACGGGGATCGACAAGGACGACTTCGCAGTGAGCAAGCTTCTAGCTTTCTCCTCTGTACTAGACTTACGATACGCTGCGTCAATCTTCGAGCATGTCTCCAACACTAATCTCTTTATGTTCAACACTGTGCTCAGAGGTTACTCGATGAGCGATGAGCCGGAGCGAGCATTTCGTGTTTTCAACCAATTGAGAGCTAAAGGTCTCACCTTGGACCGTTTCTCGTTTATCACGACTCTTAAATCATGTTCTCGTGAATTGTGTTGTTCAATCGGTGAGGGATTGCATGGGATCGCTTTGAGATCTGGGTTCATGGTTTTTACTGATTTGAGGAATGCTCTTCTTCATTTTTACTGTGTTAGTGGGAGGATCACTGATGCTCGGAGAGTGTTCGACGAAATGCCGCAGAGTGTTGATGCTGTTTCCTTTAGTACTTTGATGAATGGGTATCTTCAGGTTTCTAAGCAAGCGTTGGCTCTGGATTTGTTTAGGATTATGCGAATAAGTGAGGTGGCCGTTAATGTCAGTACATTGCTTAGCTTTCTTTCGGCTACTGGTGATCTAGAAGACTTTTTTGGTGCAGAGTCTAGTCATGGTTTATGTATGAAGATTGGTCTTGATTCAGACTTGCATATAGTCACAGCTTTGGTAGGTATGTATGCCAAAATTGGGGAAATCAGTTCAGCACGCAGGATCTTTGATTGCGCCATTCGAAAGGACGTTGTTACATGGAATTGTATGATTGACCAATATGCCAAAATGGGTCTCCTTGAAGAGTGTTTATGGCTACTGAGGCAGATGAAGTACGAAAGAATGAAACCAAATTCATCTACATTTGTTGGGCTGTTATCTTCTTGTGCAAAAAACGAAGCAGCATGGATTGGACGGAGTGTTGGGAAATTAGTAGAAGAGGAAATAATAACCTTGGATGCAATACTTGGAACCGCACTCGTTGATATGTATGCAAAACTAGGGATGCTTGACAAAGCTGTTGACATTTTTGATAGAATGAAGAATAAGGATGTAAAGTCCTGGACGGCAATGATCTCGGGTTACGGATCTCATGGACTAGCAAGAGAAGCAATAACACTATTCAGTAAGATGGAGGAAGAGAACAGCAGAGTGAAACCCAATGAGATTACCTTCTTGGTTTTGCTGAATGCTTGTAGCCATGGAGGGTTGATAATAGAAGGAGTCAGATGCTTTAAGAAGATGATTGAGGTGTATCACTTCACACCCAAAGTTGAACATTATGGTTGTGTGGTTGATCTTTTGGGTCGAGCAGGAAAGTTAGAGGAAGCATACGAGTTAATAAGGATGTTACCTATCACAAGTGATTCAACAGCTTGGCGTGCTCTGCTAGCTGCTTGTAGAGTCTATGGGAATGCAGAGTTGGGGGAAACTGTGATGATGAGATTGGCTGAAACGAATGAGATACATCCGGCTGATACAATTCTTCTTGCTGGGACACATGCTGTTGCAGGGAATTCACAAGGTCAACAACAATCATTAGATAATGAGTTGAATAAAACGAGAAAAGAAGCTGGATACAGCGCCATTGAAGTACAATAGAGTAGGCAATCCCTGGAGTTCATTTACCTGTAGCTATTACGTATGTAAATAAACAGTGTGATTGCTGTTAGCTATTACATAATATCCATCTGTAGTTATCGACTGCTTCATGTCCCTTTAATTGTTTCAATTTATGTGCCATTGTGAAAGCTGACTTTATATGAGTATGACTGCCAATTTCCTCCATGGCAGGTTATCTATACAACTACCAGACAAGAGAATTTTACAATCTTAGTGTTACTCCCAAGAACTTCCTGAAGGTTCTGCGCAGTTCGGAGGTTTGTCATGTTCTGTCTCCTGTATAGCATTTGTTAAAGAATTTCCCTTGCATCTCGCAACTATTGAATATGAGTGATATATCAGATTGAAAGATCTCACTAAGGCTGCTTTATTAGCTCTTGCAACGTTCTTTATCTGTAGTTCAGTGTAAGCATTTGCTTTACATTATTGAATAATATTATTACACCGGGTGTATACAGATTACAGATCACAGGTACCAGCTCTTCAGAGATTCCTCCAAAGCCGACAGTCACACCTTCAACAACACCCAGACTCCCACATCACTTCCTCAACAATCCTAGCGTCAATTCTTCACATCACAAGGCTGAACAGAACAACAAGAAACCGAGCTCCATCTGCTCCAAATAACACAGCCACTAACCATAACACGGAAACAAGATCTCCAACGGCGGATGGAGGAGTCGAGAACCCAACTCAACCCAAATCTTTCCAGGGTTCCCCATTTCCTTGCACGGTTTTGTGTGTGTTATGTAGATATCTTTGTTGAGAGATTGTTTGTGTCCTGTCTTTTTTTGCTTCGAAGCTCAAAGTCTTCTAACTGACGGCAGTGACTTTGATAAGTTCAATCTTGGATTAACGCTAGTGATTTACTCTTCCTTTGTGTGTAAGATTATGGTAAATGAAAAAGGAGATCAAGTGAACTTCTTATCAGCTTCATTCCCCATTGATCTTATAACTAATAGAATGACTTTAATATCTTTGTATGTTAAAATGAACTAGTTTGACTATCTTTGTGAGCCAATTGTCATAGTTCAGACATAATAAACCAAGAACATCTCTGATTGCTTTTCCATCAAGAAACAATGTCAACTCTTTAACTTGTCTAGTAATCAAACAACATCACCGTAAGAACTTAAGCAGAGCATCCATGTCTGCACACTTGATCTTCAAGTCTTCTGACTCTTCCTCAATTTCTTGCAGCCGAGTCACACCAGACTCTTTCAGTTTCTTCTCCAACCAATCCAACTTAAACCCTGCATTTGTCACATATCGTAGTGCAGAGTATGCCTCGGCCAGATCACCATTAGAGAGTTCATCAGGGGACTTGCTGAGAGTTTCAGTCAGACTTAGTATAACATTCAAATACGCTTTTCTCAAATGTGGGTTCTTGGGACAGAGCTTTGATGAAAAGCCTGGGTGCTTTTCAAACAGACTTTTCACAGATTCTACCTGCAAGTGTATGTATATATATCAAGCAAATGAACTTAAGTGAGAAACAATTACAACTTATTTTCTATGTATTTATCTAACCTGTGAAACAGGAACTTGGAACCCATTGATATCAATGATTCCCTTAGTTTCCTCTGGCACATCTAATTTACCAATAACTTCGAGAACATCAATTTCTGCAACAATCTTGACTTCATCGTTTACTAGAAACCCATTATCATGTCTACCAATATCCTCGGATGAACAAAACATGGTAAAACCCAATTTTGGGTTCTTTTGATCAAACCGACATTGTCTTTCTGAAAGAAATCACAAAATAGATTTGTTAGAAAACATGACTTGAGCTATACTCCAAAAGATTGAACATACATAACTAACCACAACATGACAAGGATATAAAGAAGAAATCTCACAGCAGCCAAAGCCCCACAACATATATAGTTTCTAGAAAATAACCATAAAGTGGTGAAAGTGAAAGAGTTAGAAGAAACAATCACCTTGCAGATAAGAGAGTTCTCCTGTAAATTGATTGACCATAGTAATGGAACATTTAGCGTGTCTTCTCCATCGGGAAGGCAAAGATTCAGAAGTAGGAACACATATAAACAGAGAGTAGTAACTGTTACTATAACCACGAGTGTTGACGAGTAGACGCCTGCAAGCAAAAACCATAGAAAGCAATAGATGTGTCACTTGCAGCAACAGGCCACCAAAATAGACATATATATGTTCTTTACCCTACCATTTGCAACGACCAGCCACGAATGTATCAGAATAAACTCCTTCGGAACCAAGAGAGGAGAATTTTTCAATCACCCAAGTGAACTTCTTAGCAGCTTCATTCCCCATATTGGTCTTAATGATGATGATGACGGCTCCTAAACACCCAAATTTGTTACTAGAACACGTCAATAATAGATGGCTCTGAATGTTTATGTCGCCAAAGTGAGAACGATACATATATATATATATATATGGATACCCCCATTGTTTAAGTAACCCTAATTAATGAGAAAAGGAAAGAGAGATAAAAGGAAAGTTTCTATATTTCTATGTGTCCAATACAAAAAAACCATATCAAAATATTGATTATCCTTGAGCATCATTGTAGTTAAACGTGAATTAGTTTGAATATCTATGGGATCCAAGTTGGATCATCCAAGTCCAACAACTGTCATAGTTCAGACATAAGAAACCAAAAACATTTATGATTACTTTTCCATCAAGAAACAAAGTGCAATACTAGTAAAACCTTATCAGCCGAGTAAAACAAAGTAAAAAACAAGAACTCTTGATGTTCCAATTTTAAAAGAACTCTGTTTCAAAACTAAGTAGATCCCAACTCTTAAAGTTCTCTAGTCATTGACCAACATCATTGTAAGAACTCAAGCAGAGCATCCATGTCTGCACACTTCACCTTCAAGTCTTTCAACTCTTCCTTAATTCCATGGAGCCGAGTCATACCATTCTCTTTCAGTTTCTTCTCCAACCAATCCAACTTAAACCCTGCTTTTTTCACAAATCGTAGTACAGAATATGCCTCGGCCAGATCACCATTGGAGAGTTCCTCTGGGGCCTTGCACACAATCTCAGTCAGACTTAGCACGACGTTCACATATGTTTCCCTCTGATGAGTGCTCTGGGGACATAGTTTTGATGCAAAGCCTGGATACTTTGAAAACAGACTGTTCACAGATTCTACCTGAAAGTCAAAAACATAAAGGAGAAATCAAGTAAAAACCGAATCCATCTACCTTAATTCATATTCTATTTAACAAGAAGTATTTATCTTACCTCTGAAGCAAGAACATGAAACCCATTGTTGTCAATAAGTTCAAGCATATCTACTTCTGCAACAATCTTGACTTGTCCGTTTACAATAAAGCCATCAATAAGATCAAACTTGTAATAATTTATCATGGATTCAAAACCACATGTTGTGTTATTTTGATTAAACCAGTATTCTGCTTCTGAAAAACAAAACAAAACAAAAGAAAACAAGACAACTCAACCATATATATCAAAAATAACATTCAACAAAGTAGGGCTGTGTGGGAGTAACAATCACCTCGCATTTTGGAGAGTTCTTCCGTGATTTGATTTGCAATTGTAAGAGATATTTTAGCACGTCTTCTCCAACCAGAAGGCAAAGATTCAGAATCAGGAACACATATATACAGAGATAGATAATCACCATAAGGTCTACCATACTTATAAGTTCCCTTGGGATAGACAATTAGACGCCTGCGAGCAAAAAAACATAGAAAGCTGATTGCAGCTAATAACAATGAATAGTATATCACTTGCAAGTTAAAGAGTGCAGACAAGACAAATTATATTCTAACCATTGCCAGGGACCAACCACGAATATATCAGAGTAAATTTCACTACCACGACCAAAAGAGGAGAAATTATTAATCACCCAAGTGAACTTCTTATCAGCTTGATTCTCCATTGATGTTAATGACTCCTAAACGCACAAGCTTGTAAGTTGAACAACCATATCAAGAAACAAAACCAAAATATTGACTAAGATTTAAAGACTAAACTATATATATAGTACATGAAACAACATGTAACCTGCACTTTATAGGGTTTTGAAACCTCAGAAACAACATGTTACCTGCAACAGCTTTTAAAGGGCAAGCAAGTGTGTGTGTAGACGAGAGGAATATGAATCGTTTCGACTCCAAGTAAATATTTCCATTAAAAAAACATTAATTGGGAAAAATGGTTATTCCAAGACGAAAATTTAACTTTCCAAAATATTTTTAAACAGTAGAAAAAGACATTTCCAAGAACCAAGTCGAGTCATATTGACAGATGTTATGGATTAAATTGTATGTTTTTGTTCCAAAAAAAAAAGAAAAGAATTGTATGTTTCAGTAGAAGAAGTATGTCTTTAAAATCATACTGTAGTAAAGATCTTTTGACACTATCCTGTGTGCTTATCCTTGAGAAGGTGGCCTTGAAAAGCTACTGTACTTAGACTAGCTGCAGGAGGAAGCTGGTTCCATCAACTCAGATTTGTGTCAATCTTTTAGGTTTCCCCATTTCAGTAAACAGTATTGCATATAACTGAGAATTCGTTTCGCATCATTGTAGTTAAAATGAAATAGGTTGACTATCTTTGGCTCTTTGTGAGCCAACAACTGTCATAGTTCAGACATAAGAAACCAAAACATTTATGATTACGTTTCCATCAAGAAACAAAGTGCAATAGTAAATAAAACAGAGCAAAACTCCCTTACACCAAAGCTAGTCCTCTTGGACGTTCCACAAGTTTAAAAGAACAGACAAGAGACCCCACCCCAACTCTTAACTTCCCTAGACCCTAGTCATCAAACCTCATCATCGTAAGAATATAATCAGGGCTTCCATGTCTGCGCACTTCAGATTCAAGTCCTTCAACTCTTGCTCAATTTCATGAAGCCGGGTCTTACCAGCCTCTTTCAATTTCTTCTCCAACCAATCCAACTTAAACCCTGCATTTGTCACAAATCGTAGTGCAGAATATGCCTCAGCCAGATCACCATTGGATAGTTCCTCTGGGGACTTGCACAAAATCTCAGTCAGATTTTGTGCAATATTCAAGTATGTTTTCTGCAATTGTGGGTTCTTGGAACAGAGTTTTGAAGCAAAGCTTGGGTACTTTTCAAACAGACTGTTCACAGATTCTACCTACAATTAAAACAATATCAAAGCAAATGATCTTTAGTGAGAAACTCTTACAGTTTGTATTCTATATATTTAAAAGTATATTTATTACTTGTGAAGCAAGGACTTGAACCCCTTTGATATCAATGCTTTTTGGTTCCTCTGGTACATCTAGTTTACCAATAACTTCAAGAACATTTACTTCTGCAATAACCTTGACTGCTCCATTTACCAGAAGGCCATTATCTCTACCATGAAGCTCGGAAAGACGTAACATGCATTCAAAACCCTGTGTTGCGTTCTCTTGATCAAACCAGTATTCTGCTTCTGAAAGAAGAAAAAACAAAAAATCAAAAAACAAGACATACATCAAAACAAGGTACTTTCAATTTCTCTGCCTTGTGAAAAATAAGGTAAAGCAAAACTGTGAGCGTAAAAAGCACCTCGCATATGGGAGAGTTCACCCAAGGTTTGAGTCGCGATTGTGAAGGAAATTTTAGCGTTTCTACTCCATCCGGAAGGCAAAGATTCAGAATCAGGAACACATATATACAGAGATAGATGATTACCATAGTAATCATGCTTATAAGATCCCTTGGGATAGGCCATTAAGCGCCTACGAGCGAAAACACCATAGGGTGTGTCATATGCAACGAACAGGCACAAATTTATATTACTTGCAAGTTGCAAACAAGTTATATTCTTACCATCTGCAGCGTCCAGCCACAAATATATCAGAATAAGTGCACCTTTCAGCAAAGAAAGTGTTGAAATTCTTAATCATCCAAGTGAACTTATTATCAGCTTGATTCCCCATTGATCTTGATGACTCCTAAACCGGGTCTTCGGGAGGCAGTTACAGAAGGGTGGGGATTCTCAACCCCGCAAGAAGATAAGCCTTTTATGGGTCGTCTACAAAATTGCATTGTAACCTGCACTTTATTATACAAAGTAACCAAGTTTGACAAGAAGAACAGTGAAGGAGATGAAAGAGCGGAACGATAGAGTTTTGAACTCTCAGAGACATTGACAATGAACTCCCTTTAGTGCAGCAACAGCTTTTAAAGGGCAAAGAAGAAGAATGTGAATCGTTTTTTACTCCTCCTCATAAATACTTTTTTGATAACAAATATTTAATTGGGTTTACTTGTCGAGGAAAAAGTGTTTACTGCAAGGCGAAAATTTAACTTTCCAAGTATCTTTAAAACAGTGGGCAAAGCCGTTTCCGTGAACAAGACAGATGTGACAGAGTAATTGCATGTTTCAACTTTCAAGTTATTTTCTTTTTTACAATTACGTTAAAAAAAATGTATATGGAGATGACAAAAGAGAGACTTGAGTACAGAAATTGAAGTAGCTTATGAGAGTTGAGAAGTTATCTTTCAATCGTTGTGTGACTTGTGTCAATCTTTCAGGTTTCCCCATTTCAGTAAACAGTATTGCCTATAACCGAGAATTCGTTTATCGTCATTGTAGTTTAAATGAAATTAGGTTGACTATCTTTGACTCTTTGTGAGGCAACTGTCATAGTTCAGTCATAAGAAACCAAAAACATTTATGATTACTTTTCTATCAAGAAACAAAGTGCAACGATAAATAAAACAGAGCAAAACTCCCTAAGATACATCAAAACAAACAGACAAGAGAACCAAACTCATAACTAACTTCCATAAACCCTAGTCATCAAACAACATCATCGTAAGAACATAACCAGCGCTTCCATGTCTGCGCACTTCAGATTCAAGTCCTTCAACTCTTGCTCAATTTCATGAAGCCGGGTCTTACCAGCATCTTTCAGTTTCTTCTCCAACCAATCCAACTTAAACCCTGCATTTGTCACAAATCTTTGTGCAGAATATGCGTCAGCCAGATCACCATTGGATAGTTCCTCTGAGGACTTGCACAAAATCTCAGTCAGATTTAGTACAACATTCAAGTAAGTTTTCTGCAAATGTGAGTTCTTGGGACAGAGTTTTGATGCAAAGCCTGGGTACTTTTCGAACAGACTGTTCACAGACTGTACCTGAAAGTTTTAAAAGTTGGTCACTAGATGTTCACAGACCATATCAAGTAAACGAAGTGTAGTGAGAAACTCTTACAGTTTGTTTTCTATGCATTTAAAATTATTTATCTTACCTGAAGTTGAAACACACTGATATCAAGGCCTTGTGTTTCCTCTAGTACATCTAGTTGACAAATAACTTCAAGAACATCTACTTCTGCAACAATCTTGACTTCTCCGTTTACCATGATACCGTTACCTTGTACTTCCAACATTCCAATCATGGATTTAAAACCACAGGTTGTGTTATATTCATCATACCAGTATTCTTTCTCTGAAAGAACAGGAAAAAAAACAAAACAAATCTGATCTCATCACCATTTACATTTGTATAGAAAGAATGATTTGAGTTATACTATATGAACATACATCATAACAATTATAAAGTAGGACAACTGTGGTAGTAAGTAAGCACCTCGCATATGAGACAGTTCTCCCGGAATTTCGCCACTTTCAAGGAGACTTTAGCATGTCTCCTCCATCCGAAATATAAAGATTCAGTTTCATGAACACATGTAAACAGAGATAGATTTTACCACATTTGTACTTGCTAGAGCCCTTGGGGTAGGCAGCATAGGCCATTAGACGCCTGCGAGCAAAATCCATAGAAAGAAATAGATGTGTCATGTGTTGTCTCATAAGCAGTGAAGAACCACGAATATATATATATAATTTGCAATCAAGAGATATGCTTACCATTTGCAGCGACCAGCCACGAATATATCAGAATATATATCACTATCAACAACCAAAGAGTTGAAATCCTTAATCACCCAAGTGAACTTCTTATCAGCTTCTTTCCCCATTGATGTTGGTAACTCCTAAAACACACAAGTTTTCTACTCGAACAAGTTAAACAACCATATCAAGAAACAAAACCAAAATATAGACTAAGATTTATAAACTAGACTATGAATCAGCTTTGTAACCTGCACTTTATTTTACAAAGTCACCACGATGAACTCTCCTAAGTGCAGCAACAGCTGTTAAAAGCAAGCAAGTGTGTGTAGACGAGAGGAAGAATGCGCATCGTTTCGACTCCTTATGAATATTTTTGTTCATAACAATTAATTAATTGTGTTTACCTGTCGAGGAAATTATTGCAGACGAAATTTTAACTTTCCCAGGTATTTTTAAAACAGTGGAAAATGACATTTCCAAGAACAAATGATAACAGTTGTGATAAGTTAACTGTATGTTTCGACTTTCAACTTTTTTTTACATTTACATGGAGATGACAAGAGAAGAGAGACTTGAGTACAGAAATTGAAGTAGCTTGTGAGAATAGAAAAGCTATCTGCCTCCAAAAACAGGTGACACTCTTCTTCTTCCTGCTTCCTCCATTTCCTCTACTGACAAAAGTGATGCCTCAGGATCAAAATCTGCACTTTCGAGTTGCTTTTGAAGCTGTTTGGTTCAAGAACCAATAGAGGAAACAGCAAAAAGTTCAATGAACCAATATAGTACCTTAGACATTTCATTCTCACAAGAATTCAGAGTTGAAACAATGTGTTTGATATTGAGCTGAGAAAGGAAAAGACAATTACCTTTTGAAGGATAACTGATTGCTCATCTAGAGAAAATTTCCGCATATACATAAGCATCTCCAGTTGCTGCAGCAACGACATTCATGTAATCAGAGATTAAACTTCAACATCCACATTTCTTGTAAAAAACTAAACTGCCATTACCTGTTCTTGTAACTGTTGTTGTGCTATCATTTTCTGTTCAAATCCTTCTGGTCCAAGCTCAGCTTCTTCACATGCCATCTCTTCCCTATAAAAAAGTCTAATCAACCACTCATATACAACAGTATTCAGTAAAGGAAACATCTTTTTGACAACGTCAGGTAGGTGCGCTTACTTAGCGAGGAACTTGTAGAAACCAATCATCAACTCTTTATCATTTTCAAATGTTGAGTTCAACTTTCCCAAGCAGCCAATACCAAATCCCGGATCTGTTTTATCAATACACCTTTCAGTACAAATTCATATACAGTTGAGTAAATCAAAACAACTAATCAATGGTAAAGAGAACTCTACCAATTCCCATCTCCAAGAATATCTCCTCTTGAATAGCAGTAGTGACCGCAACAGCTTCCTGCATTCGCCACAGAATTCACAGAGATTCAAATCTTATAACTAGGATGCAGACAAACTAAACCAACAGCCATAATACTATGGCAAAACTTAAAACTTGAAATAATATGACATCCTGTTCTGTAATAAAATTCCATTTGAAAACGACATTGATCTATTACCAGTCAACACTACTCTTAACTACTACAAAGCGAAGCATTAATCACTAGCTAAATCGCATAATCGAACCCAAAAAAAAAACTTTCTCACCTGCTTATCCTTTACAGCGTCAGAGATTCGTTTCTTCACATCTGAGAAACCAAAACAAAAAAAAATCACAATGAACGAATAGAACAATAGTGTATTCAGATACTTCATACAAAAAAAAAAACACAATTACCAGATTGCGATGTCAAGTAATCGAATTGATCAAAGAGGTAAACCATTTGCTCTTTCGTCAACATCCCAGAGCTTTGCAGCGACGAAGCCATTACCCAAAAAAAAAAAATCTATCTCCGGAGCTCAAAGTCATAAAAGCTAAGTTTGGAATACCACATATAACATTAAATGACGATATTACCCTTTCACCTTTGTTTGATTATAAAAGCGAATGTCGCATTTTTATATTATGAGGTATTAACCATAAAATTAAGGAGGAAAAGAGCAACTAAATTATTCATTAATAAAACCAAGATACACGGCAATATTACAAGGGTATAATAGTAATTATAATAATATTAAGAAAGCTCCTTAAAAATCTTCGTCGAGAGAGAAGACGTGATTATCAATCGCGCCGTTGCCGTTAACGCTAGACATAACGGAAGCCTTTTGGTAATCGCCAACGCGTTTCTCGAAGAAGTTCGTCTTCCCTTGAAGCGAGATAAGTTCCATCCAATCAAAAGGATTAGTCACACCATACACCTTCCCGTACCCAAGCGCACCCAAAAGCCTATCCGCTACAAACTCAATATACTGACTCATCAAATCCTGGTTCATCCCAACCAACGCGCAAGGAAGCGCGTCGCACACAAACTCCCTCTCGATCTCCACCGCGTCGCATACGATCGACTTCACGCGCTCTTCGCTAAGCTTCGTTTTGAGAAGCGTGTAGATAAGGCACGCGAAGTCGCAGTGTAAGCCTTCGTCTCGAGAGATCAATTCGTTTGAGAAAGTTAACCCAGGCATGAGTCCTCGTTTCTTAAGCCAGAAGATGGAGCAGAAGCTTCCGGAGAAGAAGATACCTTCAACACAAGCGAAAGCAACGATTCGTTCAGCAAAGGTCTGAGATCCGTCGATCCATTTCATCGCCCACTGAGCTTTCTTCGCGACGCAAGGAATCGTCTCAATCGCGCGGAAGAGATGGTCTCTCTCTTTGTTATCTTTGATGTAAGTATCGAGAAGAAGACTATACATCTCAGAATGAATATTCTCAATCGCGATCTGGAAACCGTAGAAAGCACGCGCCTCCGAGACTTGGACATCGGACATGAACCGAGAAGCGAGATTCTCTAAAACGATTCCGTCGGATGCAGCGAAGAAAGCGAGGACGTGTTTGATGAAGTGACGTTCGCCGTCGTTGAGACTGTTCTCCCAATCGCGGTTGTCTTGTGAGAGATCTACTTCTTCAGCGGTCCAGAAGGATGCTTCGGCTTTCTTGTACATCTCCCAGATCTGTGGGTAGTGGATTGGGAACATACAGAATCTGTCTGGGGTTGGGGTTAGAAGCGGCTCTTCTGGCATCGAAGGCATCTTTGATTGAAGAGATGTGATTGATTTGGGTTTTTTTGATTGAATGGTGAATTTATTGGATCTAGGGATTGAGTATTTATAATGGGAACTAAAAGGGTTTTGGAGGGTTTTGAAGAGGAGAGGGAAAATTTGAAAGGAGGGAAAATATTGAAAACGTTTGAAAATTTTTTGTGTTGTTTCGTGATGGAAGCTTGTTGGGGAATTTTTGATTTTAGAGCTTGTTGAGGAAGATGAAGGGTATTATCGGAAATGTATAGTGAAATTTTAGCCTTGGGGAGCGAGGGAAGGGATAAAGTTTGGCGGCAATATTCGATAATATTTTGCCGGGTGTGTGTGTAAGGGTAAAAGCGACATTTTGTTTGGAAACTCGTAACTTTTGGTGCGGCGGACGCGAATATTTTTGTGGTCATCGTGTGTTTTACTGTGAGGTACACTTGCGTTCGTGTGGTAATGTGTGAGGTACACGCTCGTAAATTTGCTTAGAAGGGTTAAAAGCCCATTAAGGAGTGTCCAATGGACTTTCCTTTTCCGGACTAATGTAATCGGGTTTGGTGGATTAGTTAAACCGGAAATTGAACTGAACCCTAATTGATGCATGCAACTAACCCGAGAGTGAGCCAAATATACTGAAATTCATTAGAAAATGCAATAATGATAAAATGTAAAATAATAATAAATTAATAAAAAATAAATACGGATTTAAAAATAATTTAATTTAAAACCAAATATCATATAATTTAATCATTTTTGTGTTGTGAATCCATGATATATAGAGAAAAGAAATAAAAAATTTAAATTTATTTTAAGGAGAACAAAATATATATATAGAATTTGTGTTGGGTGTTATTGTTGGTGTAGCTAGATTATGGAAGTTAATGGGCAATTTTTAATAATTTAATTGTGCTACTAAATAAGCATGGGATGGATTATGCTAATATATTCATAGGATTTGTGGGTTTAGTGTTCTTGAACATGAATGCTAAAATGATTCTAACATAAAGCCGAAGAACAAGCTCCGATGTTTGTGATTGCAGGACATCTCTTATTTCTTATTTTACATCCTTCATCTCAAAGGTGTATTTTAGTATTTCTCCATCTTTAATCTTGTTTTTTATCATAATGAATTTAGAAATATCATTTCATAATCATGTTTTCAAATTTAAAAGACACATGCATCATGAGACAAGGGCCTTTGACATTGATACATGTGTTTCCTCATGATTATATTACATGTCTTGATCATTTGTTGATCATGTGTCCGTTCCATACGAACCAATTTGTCGGCCACAAGATTGTTATCCTGTCTTGTTGTTTTTTTTTCAGTTTTTTTGTTTAAACATTTGTTTCAATATAAAAACACCTCCAAATACTTAGTTTCTAATTCATATATATAAATGTTTTAAAAGTGGTTTATAAATTGTAGATTTTCCTTTAGTCCAACCAATCCAACCCTAAAGTTAAAAGCAACATCAATACAAAAGACATATTTTTATTTTCTAGTGACAATATATGTTTTGTATTCTACCAAAAGAAAAGTGTAAAATGTCTTTAAAACTCACTTTTATAATGGTACCACTTTTATTATTGTTTTAAACTCACAAAAAGTTCCTAAAAAAAAACTCAAACATAGGAGAGTCCTTTGGCTACTCTGCCCATATTCTTCTGTATAGATTTTCTTACAACAAGCTCATATCGAGAATGAGACACGTTGATCACTCACTTTAGCTTTCGCAGACTAATACAAGCAACAATACCAATGGCTAGAATCACCCATCCCATAACATTATACTTCTCATTACTACTTTTCTTATTCTTCACTACCTGTTTACGAGAAAAAGAAAAAAAATACATAAATCAAACATGGTTTCATACTCATCTTCTTATACTATCTTAATTAAGTTAAATGCATCCGTCAAACACTGAGAAACAAAATGTGATGATGATAAATATATTGGACGTATGTTAAAAGAGAGAGTGAACCTTTGGGTTTGGTATTGCTGAAGGTTCAACTTCAACACCACCCAATGTCAGTGAGACTAGGCTGTTTTTTTGTATTTCTGGAGCCTATATATAAAAATTTGAATAAAAATCAAAACGAGAACGAGTTTTATATACAAAATGGACATTTTGAGATGCAACGTTCCAAACTATGAATGATAAAGAGAGAGATAGGTATAGGATCATCATCACAATCTTAGATGATTCGAGTGATCTATATAGATAAGTTAAGTACCTTGGCGGCTATATCGAGTGAGTACTGGTAGACTTTATTATCCGGTTGCTTCAAAAGATGGAGAATACATAATATTTAACATCACAAGATCAGAAACCACGACACAAGAGGGTGATCAATATGTCAACAATGATATATGATTATAATCTGAATATAATGGAAACACAAATAACCTGATCTACAGCTATTCCAAAGAACAGAGAAGCTAAGCCAAAGTTGTATTTAGCTTGTGTGTCGTCAGGAGTCAAAAGCGCGTACGAACTATATGCATTCCCAATACACCAAAGTGCATCATGTTTCATAGGGTCAATCATAATGGCCTTTTCCAGCTTTGTGATGGCTTCTATACGCAAGAAAAATTGAAAATTTGTAATCAAAGCAGGTTTTAATCACAAATTATAGATTCATAAGCATGAAGCTTCATAAACCGATTAATATCACTGAAGCAAGGATCATGACTACACGAAGCCAACATGTAGCGCACCAAAAAGAAGAAAAATAATACACCTTGAATCATTTTCAATGAATCTGAGACGTTATGAAACTGAGATAACTCTAGTAACGCTTCTCCCCATCTCATCAAATTCTGCCAGAAAAAAAGAAAGAAGTTAACAGAGATCGATCAAACCAAGGAAGAGTCATTAATCCTCCAAAAATGGAACAAGAACAAAAGTAGCAAAACACAGAAACTAACATTGGCATCTTCAGGGTTTGATTTGTAGGTCTCTTCGGCGTTTTTTCGAATCTGTTCGAAATTTTTCAGCTTATCCATGTTATGGATTCTCAAAGCTTTGATACAAAAACTTTGTCTCTCTTCTCTTCTCTTTTCTCTTTGCCCTTCACAGAAATTAAACGACTTATCTCCATTGATCTTAAAGTAGGTCACATATAATATGGTGAAAGTTCAAAATTCTGCAAGATAATATATTACAATGACTTCTCATCAAAGACTTTCGTTATAATATCATTTAAATTAAGACTTTCCTTTTCAAGTCATGTGTTCTAATATCTGTTAGTTTCAGTTTTTTTATAAATTTTTTAACGTAATCTAAGAGCTTTCAAAAAAGATTCATCTACATGACTACATTTGATAAACTGAATTGTATGTAAGTTATGACTATTTGAAAAGCTAGCACATTTTGATTATGAATTTGATCAAAAATACGAAAAAACTCAGAACCCTAAAATCAAAAAGTCTACATCTACTCAAAAGACATGTTTTTTTATTCTAATGATAATATGTTTTCATAAGTTGGAATAATAAACATTACAACTGTGGATGTGCTTCAGGTGGGGTGTGTCTAAAGCTCTCACACAAGATCTAACTGTCAAAACCTTGAAAAACCGAAAACACCAGCAAAATCTCCTATTGCGTCTACTTAAAGAGGAGGAGACACAGGCACATTAGCTTTAGCGAAACCGACCCACGCAACAACACCAATGGCTAGAATCACCCATCCCATCACATCATACATATTATCGCTGCTTTTCTTATTCTTCACTGCCTGCTTTGGAACATATACATTACAAACATGAGATTCAAACGAATCTTTTTTATATTATCTTATCAGACCAATGCATTCATCAAGTATTGAGAAATGAAACGTCATGATGAGAATGAATATAAACAGACAGAACCTTTGATGAGCTCGGCGCTGCAGAGGGTTCAACACCACCCATTGGTTGTGAGCCTAACCCGTGTTTGTGAACCTCAGTGTGAAGTTGTGGAGCCTGTCCGTAGCATAAAATACAAAGAAATTCGATTAAAGAACAAACCTTTGAGATCAGGTTTATAGACAAAATGGACAATTCAGCTGCAATCTTTCTATGAGTAAAACAATTTGCCTATACTTAAGCATAACAGAGAAGAAATATGATTGGAATAACAAAACTTCGAGATTAAGTCCAACGGAAAAATACACAATTTAGATGCAATACTCACTTTCTATGAATCGATCTACAACTTAATCTTTACAGGTTTGGAGCATATGTGGTTAGGCCACAGAGAGAAGAATTTCAAAAAAAAAAAAGAAAGATGCAATACTCACTTTCTATGAATCGATCTACAACTTAAATCTTTACAGGTTTAGAGCATATGTGGTTAGGCCACAGAGAGAAGAATTTCGATTAAAGAACAAAACTTTGAGACTGGATTTAGATACAAAACGAACATGAATTTAATAGGCTAATGGTTTCTACAGTACCTTGGCCGTCATTTCGAGTGATTTCAGGTAGTGTGGATTTTCTGGTTGCTGTAAAGATAAAAAAAATGCGTTTTTAACATGATACATCAGAAACCAAAAACACAAAAGCATCAATATCAATTCAACAATGATTTCTAAATGGTAACCTCATCCACAGCTTGTTGAAAGAAGTGAGCAGCTAAGTCAAAATTATACTTAGCTTCAGCCTCATCAGGAGTCAGAAACGCAAATGCAGTGTATGCATTCCCGATACACCAAACCGCATCATGTTTCTTTGGGTCAATCAACAAAGCCTCTTCAAACTTTGCGATAGAATCTACACACAGTCACACACACACAAATTAAAAAAGAAAATAAAATCAAATGGTAACTGATCCCTAGATCAGAGATAAACTCACAGTTCTAGAACAGATTTATAATCAATAATTAGATCCCTCAGCATCATACACTGATTCATATCATTGTTAAGTTTTGTATTATACCCAAAACCTCTATATAACAAGTGTGAAGAATCCTAAAACATCAGCCATTAGACACACTGAAGTAAGGACTAAAGATTTATGATTACAAGTTCTTGAAACATTAACAATCATGTTCAAGAATCAATATTAACATACATATGAAACTAAAGCAACCTATCAAACACAACAACAAAAAAGGCACCTTGAATCATCTGCTTTGCATCTGGGATACTGTGAAACTGAGCTAACTCCAGCATAGCTCCTCCCCATCTCGTTAAGTTCTACAAAAACCCACCACAATTCAATCACAAAGCAGAGATCACAAACACCCCAGGATCGAAAAAAAAATCAGACTTTTATCCCACAAATCGGATAAAGAAGAATACTAAATCTGAAATCATGAAGGAGAAAACTAACATCGGCATCTAAAGGGTTTGACTTGTAGTTCTCCTCTGCGTCTTTACGAATTTGTTCGAACATTAGTAACCTATCGAACTCAACTTCCGTATCCATGGCTTCTTCTTCGTGTTCCGTACAAAACTTGCTTCTTCTCTTCTTCTCTTCTTCTCTTTTATTCTTTAGACCTTATTTATGGTTTGGGGCGCAAAGAAAGATATCAGGAAAGCGAAACTAAGAAATGCAGCGTTTTACGATGGGCTTATAATGGGCCTTTGTTTAGATGTAATTCTTGTATCGGCTTGTAAAAGCCCAGCATCTTAATGGGTTATTTTTTTCCCTCCAAATATTTTATCAGATTTTATTTTAATAATAATTTTATAGAATAAAGTTTTAAGATATATTTTAGTCACAACTGCTCCGTGAGCTAGCAAATGTGACAAATCTCACCTGCCACATGTAAAATCACAGATAGGGAGGAAACAATAATAATTTATTAAAATTAAAAGAAGAGGATAAGAGATTTGCAAAAAAGGTGGAGAGCATCACATGAAAGAAGAGTAATATGTTCCCTAATTTTTGTTTATTTGGTTATTTTTTGAATAAACAATTAAAGAAATCCAAATTGTATAGTTTAATAATAAAGATTTCGAATCAAACTGATACTTTTAAAACATAAAGGCATGTAATTATATTTTAAAAAGGTCGAGAATTAGATACTAAAACAAGCCTTATTTCAAATTTTAATAAATAGATAATAATAATAACTCGTCTCTTTTACATAATATAAAAAAAATGTGCTAGTTAATTAAATCAACTACACCCGTTGAAGGTGGGTATTTTAGAATCAATTACGGGAAAAAGTGATATAATTTATCTTTAGTAATAATGCTTATCACATGTGACCCATAGTTTCTTAAAAGTAATATTTATGATGTGGGATTATTTATTTATATAATTATATGATATTAAATTATTGTTTTCCCTAAAAATATGTTTTACTTATGATTCTCTACCACATTATTACTCGTTAGTCGGTATGTTAGGACATCCCTTAATTTCGTATATTCTTATTCTAATGGTACAAACGAGTTCATCCAAGAGTTCATTAGGCATATACAAAGCAATTCTCATATACATTTTAAAAAAAGCTTCCAATAACAGTTATTTTTTTCCCCTAACGTATGAGAAAGAACATCGAATAGAAATAAGAATGATCTACAAGAGATGACTTCCAGAAAAATGTGAAAAATATTTTGATACTTGAAGATCAGATATAAATAATTCAAAATTTTCATTAAAAAAAAAATCTATCTTTTCCCATTAAACTTATTGAATACCAAAAAAAATATCGACAATAAAGATACAACAAAAAATTGTTATCACAGAAAAACAATTCGAAGAAAAAAATACAACAAAGAAAAATATAATATTAGAGTGTTTTTTTCAACAAAACAACAAAGAAAAACTACATACATTTTCAAAATTTTAATAATCCTAGCAGTCCACAAATTTTAATAAAATTTCATACCAAACCTATTATCTATATATAGTCTCGTAATCACTGAAGGTGGATATTTATTTACTCGAAAACACTAGATATTTATTTGCATATTTATTTTTACACAAAAAAAAAAAAAAAATCTGAAGTTAACACAATATGCTGTTACAAAAAAAAATCTAATTTTGTCGAAAATAAAAATATCTACGAAAAACAAAACAACAAAAATGGTTGTCTTGTCAAAAAAAAACAAAACAAAATAAAAATCTATATACTAATGGGTTTTGTCAACTAAATCGGACGGTGGAGAACGAGTCACCAAATCGTAGAAAAAAACTGGATCCAAAGTTTGAGCTATTTCAAAACTCGAAAGCTACTGAGGCGACGACGCGTGTACCATACGGCAGTGGCATAACAACGTAATTAATAGAGAAAACAAAGGGCAGTTTGGGTAAAGAGAGAAATCAAACAAGTATACACATACATACAGATCCAAATCCAACCTTTGAGGACCATTTCTTCTCTCTTCTCTCTCATTCTCTTCTCTGACGTGTTTCCTTCTTCGGTTTCTCATCCTCACGTCCGCCTGATTTTGAGGAAACGAAGAAGCAAAGAAAAGGTCTGTATCTCTCTTCTCTCTTCTCTCTCGAGTTTCTATGTTTATCTTTCTGTATAATCCCTAAATCTAGTGTTTTCGATTGTTTTGATTCGTTCTCCCAATATCTCTCAGATTCTTTTTGAATCTACCGATCAGTTTCGTTTCTCTCAGTCGTAATTTCGAAATTTTCCGATGATGAATTTGAAATTTGATGCGAGTTTGTGTGTTCAATTGATAATTAGGGTTTGTGATTCAACTGAGATTAGCTCAAGCTCCGATTTGATTTGTGGTTTTGTATCTGGTAGATTTTTGAATTATGGACAGGTTCTGGCAATTGGGAGATGAGCTACGAGGTCAGACGAGAGCATCAGAGGATCACAAATGGTCCACTGTTGCGACGAAGCTAGCTGAGCAAACTAGGATGAAAGGGGAGAGGATGAACAATCTTGATCTCTCCAAAGGTTACACTGAGTTCAGGCCGAGTGATAAGTTTAGTTTCCAGGAGAACAATCTTAACTTCAACATGTTGAATTTGGATGGCAAGTATGGTGAAAGCATGGGTAAGGCTTCGATGCAGGGGAATGTTTATAATATGAATACTGTTTTCCAGAAGAATGATTTCAAAAGTGGAGGCAACAACATGAAAGTCAACAAGTATAGTGGTAACGTTGTTGCTAACAAGGAGATGAACAACAACAAACACAACAATAACAACAATGATAATGGGAATATGAATTTGGCTGTTGACAAGAGGTTTAAAACCCTGCCTGCTACGGAGACGCTCCCAAGGAACGAAGTTCTTGGTGGCTACATCTTTGTTTGCAACAATGATACCATGCAGGAAGACATGAAACGAAACCTCTTTGGTAAGTTCTAATACGCTCTCCCAGTGTTTTACTGAAATATAGACTGCAAGTTAATAACTTTTTTTGCTTGGTTTAACTCTGCTTCCGTCATGCATTTCATATAAATGTTGTTTGATTTGTCAGGTTTACCTCCAAGATACAGAGACTCTGTTCGAGCAATCACACCTGGATTGCCTCTGTTTCTTTACAACTACACCACTCACCAGCTTCATGGTATCTTTGAGGTTTGTTCTCATGCTTCATCTTCTATCATAACAACGGTTTTGATTCTACCATTTACTAAAATTTGAGTTCATTATTCCATGATATGATTCTTGGTTCAGGCAACAACTTTTGGAGGTACTAATATTGATGCTACTGCATGGGAAGACAAAAAGTGCAAAGGAGAGTCAAGGTTCCCAGCTCAGGTAAAACTTAAATCACAATACTTTTCATCGTTCCCTAGGGGTGTACCAATTAAAACTTTGTCTCTTAAATTATAACAGGTAAGGATCAGAGTGAGGAAAATCTGCAAAGCCTTGGAAGAGGACTCCTTCAGGCCAGTTCTTCACCACTACGATGGTCCAAAATTCCGCCTTGAGCTCTCTGTTCCTGAGGTGCGTGTCCATATACGTTTTGGTGACTGCTAAAAACAAGAAAAATAAGTGCATAAATAATGATTGAATGGTTACATCATATTATTAAAAAAGCTAAAGTCATATCCACTTTGAACGGTGATCTTTTATTGAGACTTGATTATTTGTTGACTGTGATGTTTGCTGCAGACAATTCAGCTGCTAGACCTCTGCGAAGAAGCTGGTTCTGCATAAGCCGAAACGATCAACCTTGCAATGCCACGTTGCGAAGGGGTGAGGGGAGGTTTTGTATGAAATCTATCTACGTATATGTATTACCATAAAGAGCGTAAGCTTTTGGGTTTTAGTTAAGAGTCGTATTCAAATGTATGTTTACGAAGAAGGGATGAGAGTATGTGTGGTCTTAAGGCAAGCAAAAGGGCGAAGAGGCTCTGCCGAATAAGCGACTTCTCTCATTCTGTGTCTGTGTCTGATGTGTGAGTGTGTTTGTGAGAGATTCGATACTCTTTTGAAAACAAAGATTTATGTAGAAGAATATAGAGAGAAAGAGAGACTATAAACAGAGCCAAAAATGTTGTGAGCTACTGTTTGTGTTTGCTTGTGTAAGGAGAAAACAGATTGTCCTAAAATGACAAGTTTAACTTTTAAGCATATGAGTCAGAGTCATTATCTTACAATATGATCTAACTTTGTATACTGCGTACTTGCCTACTTCCGCGTAGAGCTAAACCGAGTTGGTTGGTTCTGCATTGCTAGTATCCGGAAAATATGCATTTTCATACACCCAAAATGTCGATTGGGATACTATGCAGCAGAACCAATCTGGGACAGCATTATCCTGCTTGTAGTTTCTTATAGAGAGCTACACTGGGTTGGTTCTGCTGCATAGTATCCCGATTCCGGTTATATCTCTTAACTCTTGTTTATATATCTTGTACCACCATGTTTATCAAAAATACACTGCTGGGACAACATTCTCTTAAGGATTGCAACGTTTCATTTGGTTAAAAAGGAGTTGAAAAGCTAATCCTACAACAGTAAAATATGGTTGCTCTCTGGTTAGTGTTTGGCTAGACGTCGAAAGCACAACCATAGAGACAAACACCATCTTCGTATTAACATTGTCAAAACACCATCAAAGAGCAGCTGATACAATGAAGTTTTGAATTCTGTTCAACAGCTCTGCCTTCACGGAATCTGGCACTGAAGCTGCAAAGAACACAAAGAACATCCATAGAAATAAAGTCAAGCTTAGTAACAATGAATCAACGGGACACAAGAAACTGGTTTTGCCGTGTTCCGCTTATATCTTAAATGAGCTCATTCGTTTATCTCTTACCTCTGCCTTTTGGAGTGATCACTCGGATCAGCTCATCGACTGTCACATCTTTTCTCCCTTTTCTTCTTTACATGCTCCCTGCATTCTCAAAAGAAGAGCTTTCAAATGAAAGCTATCCTAACAAAACCAAACTTCTCAAACAAAGATAGTTCAATTCAGTTAACAAAACAAAACAAAAGCTGAAAAATCTTTGCTTTACAACATCAACAACAACAACAAAGAACCAAATTCGAAACTCTTAAACCTCCAAACAAACCAACGAGACATCAGGAGTTACTCTTTAGAATCAATGTTGAATCTTCCTGAAGAAACTAACTATATAGTCAAAATTTAGAAGCTTTAACCAAATCCCTGATAACTCAGTAGCCACAACAACACAACCTCCAGAAAAGGTATTGATCTGAATCAAAAAGATTGTGAATTTAGGTTAAAAGAGGTATAAAGAACCTGCAAGCAATTCTCATCTCATCTTTCCTACCACACTCCACCAATCTATCTCTCACAAGCTCCACTAGATTCTCCTTCTCTCCACTCTCCACCAACTACGACGATGAAATATTTCCAAAGAAAAAAAAACGTTTGCATCAAAAAGGTCCAACAACAGTAATTGAAATAAAAAGACAACAGTTTACGAGACAACAGTGAAATTATATTATTGAGAGACAACAGTTTACGTCCAGGCCATAGTTCGTGTCACCATAATCATCAACAATAAGATGAATTAATATGATCAAGAATCCAAGAGATAAAACACTAAAACAGGAAAATCAGAATAAGGCATCTGAGTTGAGCCAATGTAGATGTCAGCTAATTTTATTCAAAGCACATAACTAAACAGTGGAAATTAAAACCAAACACAACTCCTTGATAAGCAGCAGCACAGTGAAGCATATATTAGTGGAATCAGGCCGCATTGACAGTGTCTCCTACAACAAGACCACTAGCCTTTGCTTGCTTCTCCTTGTAGTTGTTGACTGCGGACTTGATGGCGTCTTCTGCAAGCATACTACAATGTAGCTTCACCGGTGGCAAAACGAAGATGCTTTGCGATTTCCCTGAAAAATTAGAGCAAGTGAGAGTTCCAAAACATCTTACTTGTCCATCAAGAATTCTAACCTAAAAAAACATTCAACCAATATCATATCACTAGCTAGACCTACCTAACCAATACAGAGCTGGCGACATGAGTTAATATGATTTGTTAGGAGGGCACTTACGAGTTCTTGATGGTCAAAACATCCTCTATCGTTTTTCCCTTGATCCATTCAGAAGCTGCATGAACAACCAAACAACAACAACAAAACCTAAGACGACGAGACTCGATTCTGAATCACATAGTAAAGAGCAAACAGAAGAAGAGATACCGACGGAAGAAGAGGCGATAGCGGAGCCACAGCCAAAGGTCTTGAATCGAGTGTCAATGATATGACCTGAATCGTCGACCTTAATCTGGAGGCTCATGAGGTCACCGCAGGAAGGAGATCCTACCAGTCCAGTGCCAACGTTAGGGTCATCCCTGTTGAAGGATCCAACGTTGCGAGGGTTTTCAAAGTGGTCTATTACATTCTCGTGGTACATTCGTCGCCCCACACCTAGACGAGCCGCCGTGCGATTCCGTAGCCCTAGATAAGCCTTTCTCGCAGTTTGCCTCAGCGTCGTCATACTCCTTCTCTTTCGGCGGAATCAATCAAAGCGTTTTTGGGTTTTTTTTTTTCTTTTCTTCTTTCTTTTGCCAATTACGTAGATTCAATCATATATATTCAACATGAATGGATGAATGGTGTGGGATAATAAAAATTATTAGAAGAAAAAAACAAACTGAAAACTCAAAGTTTATTGGGTTTTGCGAAATTTTTAGCCCAAAAGACTCCTAAACCCAAAAACCTTTGTGGATCAAGTCCTTAATATATAAATAAAGCCCACTAAGATTGGAGCTTTGCTTTGTTGCGTTTACTATATTAACCCCTGTGACAGGTAAAGAGATTGAGCCTTTTTTTGTTTTTTTTTTCAAGGGGAATACACCTTACAAATGAGCCGGCCCAAGCCAAAAGGCCCAAAAAAACACGACACCGGCCCAAATCGGCGCATAGGACCCCTAAAAGATTGAGCCTTCTTGTTAAGGGATCAATCGAAATTGAATTGGTATCCCTGAGAGTTCCGGTTAGTTCGGTTCGGGTCGGGTAGTTCGGTTATGGGTTATTTACTGAATTTATAAGTTGTACCAAAATAACCGAATTAAAAGTTTGGTTCCGTAATTGATTTTTTTTGCTTCCACATTCCAAGTTATGACCACCACAACTTAGCAAAAACGAAATTTTTAGCAACAGTTAACATACATGACCTGTTTTCAACGGCAAATAAGTTGATACCATAACATAAAGGATCTGAATAAAAGGCAATTGGGACAACATTTTCTTTAGGATCTTAACGTTTCATTTGGTACAAAAAGGAATATGAAATGGCTAATTCTACAACAGCAAAGATGGTATGTTTGCTCTCTGGTTTAGTGTTTGGCTACAGGTAGAAACCACAGCCATATATAGACAAACACCATCTTCGATAGTAACATTGTCAAAACACCATCAAAGAGCAGCTGATACAATGAAGTTTTGGATTCTGTTCAACAGCTCTGCCTTCACGGAATCAGGTACTGAAGCTGCACACATACACAAAGAACATCCATAGAAACAAAGCCAAACTTACTAAACAATGAATCAACGGGACACAAGAAACTGGTTTTGACGTGTTCGGATTTTATCTTAAATGAACTCATTCGTTTATCTCTTACCTCTGCCTTTTGGAGTGATCACTCGGATCAGTTCATCGACTGTAACATCTTTTCTCCCTTTCTTCTTTACATGCTCCCTGCATTCCCAAAAGAAGAGCTTTCAAATGAAAGCTATTCAAACAAAGATAGCTCACTCCTTAATCCAATTCAGTTGACAAAACAAAAGAAAGCTGAAAAATCTTTGCTTTGCTGCTTTGCATCATCAACAACAATTACTAACCAATTTCAAAAATCTTAAACCTCCAAACAAACCAAACATCAGTGAGACTTCAAGAGTTACTCTTTAGAATCAAATTATGCATCTTCCTGAAGAAACTATACTAGACTTGAAGTCAAAATTTAGAAGCTTAAACTAAACCCTAATAAGTCACTAGCCACAACAACACAAGTACACAACATTCAAAAGAAAAGATTGATCTGAATCAAAAAGAAAGTGAAATTTAGGTTAAAGAACCTGCAAACAATTCTCATCTCATCTTTCCAACCACACTCCACCAATCTATCTCTCACAAGCTCCATTAGATTCTCCTTCTCTCCACTCTCCACCAACTACGACGATTAAAATTTCCCAATAAGAAAAAAAAAAAAAAACTTTCAATAAAAAGTCCAACAACAGTAATTGAAATCAATTTCGCCGTTTAAAAAAACCTTGACGTTGATGATTTCTCGAAGCGTGACCTCGTCTTTCTCGAAACTTTCCGGTGCATCGTCTTCATCAGGTGTCGGAGGCCGGTTCACTGAGGGTTTCCTGATCAGAAAAAAAAAAAGAAGCGAGAAATCGAAAGAAGGACTCGAAGATTAACGATTCGAAAGAGGATATACGATTCTATAATACGTACATGTGTTTGAATCGATTCAATTTGTTTCAAGAACACGAATCAAATTGAGATAACTGATTTTTTTTTCCAGAATCTTCTTCAGCAAACTGAATCGCACGAAGAACAAAGCAGACGAGATCATTTACAATTTCAGTAATATAAACTACGTGCCGTTTATTAAAGCTATGCCGAAAACAACCTGTTTTCTTTTTAAGTCCAGTGGATAAAAACTACGTGCCGTTTATTAAATGGGCCTTTGCAAATTTATTCTATAAAAAGGCCTTTGAATTTTGTAATTAACTAATTTTTTGGCAAAAAAACTTCAGTGGTATAGAGGCCACTAAAGTTTTATTTTTGTAATAGTTGAAGCCTTAAATAAAAGCCCATTAAACAAGGGCCCAGGAACCAAAAACGTGCGAACAAAATGATGCCATATGAGTAACGGTCAACGTAGTCGCGTCAAATGCTCAGCCACTAAACTACGGTTGTGGACGGCAAACGCTCTTCGTCTCCGAAACGCAACCGCTGCGATCTTAAAATATATTATTCTTCCATCCATCCTCTCTTCCTCACCGGCGTAGAATAGCACCCCAACCGCTATCTTACGCACTTTTTTTTCCATGGCGGTTTCAGTCTCAGCTCCGATCTCGTTCCTCTGTTACAACCAGAACGGCGAATTGTCTCGTCGTTTGGGATATAGACCATCGAAGAAGGTGGGGTTTAGCTCTGGCCGCCGTTCAGTGAGATTTATTGGTTTGGGTGCGGACAAAGTTGGGAGATTTAGGGTTAGGGTTCCGGTCTGCAGAGCTGTGCCTCCTCTCTTGTTCAAAGATCTCGATGCTGATGATTTCAGGCATCCTCTCGATAAACAGGTCCTTAAAAAGTTGGAAACTTTAGGATTTTTGATTCTTGCTTCAGATATCAATCTTTGATGATGTGATACGAAAGCTCTTGTGTGTCTTTTGCCGCAGAACACTTTGTTACTAAGGGCTATACCGGGATTGAACGAATTCGGGAAAGCTCTTTTAGGTGAAGTTCTTTCTTGTTACTTACTTGGCACAAAAGGGTTTGATAGGAGTATTTGATCTTATTGACTCTGGGAATGTTGTTGTAGGATCAATGACTGAACAGATTATGCTTCTTGAGAACATTGGGACTTCTGTTCTTGTCTCCAAGAATCAGGTTTGTAGTTGTGGATCAGTGTCTTGGGACATTATATATTCGTGTATCCCACTTATGTGAGACGTAATGTTTGCCTGTCTCAGCTCACTGATCTTCACGGTTTGTTGGTCGAGGCTGCTGAGATTTTGAACATAGAGGCTCCTGATCTCTATGTTCGACAAAGTCCTGTTCCTAATGCGTATACACTGGCGATAAGTGGTAAGAAGCCGTTTATTGTCGTCCATACCAGCTTGATCGAGCTTCTGACTCGCGCGGAGCTACAGGTTTTTACTCTTTTGCTGCATTACAAATTGACGATTCTATGTTTTTTTATTGGGAACTACAGTTTTGAACCTAACCATAGACGCTAATTATTGGAAGCAGACTTTTACTGTCAAATAATAGCAAATTGTACCAAAATCTGACACTTTTACCTTAAAATTAGGCTGTCTTGGCCCATGAACTAGGCCATCTGAAGTGTGATCACGGCGTGTGGCTCACATTTGCAAATATTCTTACTCTTGGGGCTTATACAGTTCCTGGTAGGCGCCACACTCTTCTCCATTTGCCAATCGCTTGTATCTACTTTTCTGTGTCAGTCTGACAAAATTTATAGTGAAATTCATCCTGGAAATCTGTTTACCTAGAAGGAACTCTCAGAAGTTTTCAGTTTGCAGCAGGCGTGTTTGTTGAGAATGTTATTGTTGCTTAGTTGAATTCTCTTGTTTGTAGCTTTTGGGCAAATGATAGCTCGAACCTTGGAAGAACAATTACTTCGTTGGCTCCGTTCAGCAGAGCTGACTTGTGATCGCGCAGCACTTCTTGTCGCCCAAGATCCAAAGGTACCAATACTAAAAACCAAAGTTGAAAACAAAAAGAATACTTCAAGTTATACATAAAATACCTAGTGATGTTTCTTATAATCTCTCTCATGGCACATCCAAGAGGTTGTTGTATCCGTTCTAATGAAGTTAGCTGGAGGATGTCCATCAATCGCTGATCAGCTAAATGTTGACGCGTTTCTAGAACAAGCCCGTTCATATGACAAAGCTTCTTCGAGCCCTTTGGGATGGTACATAAGGTGAGACAATTAAAATTATACAAAAGTGGTGGCGAAAATTAGATTACTCTTCCTTCAGATTCATTTCTTGTTTGTTTACATATTTTCCTTTCTACAGAAATGCTCAGACTAGTCAACTATCACATCCATTACCGGTTCTCCGTGCACGTGAGATTGATGAATGGTCCAGGAGTCTCGAGTATAGAAGTCTCCTGAAAAAGGCAAATCGAATAAGCACAGTGCAGAAGGTTTAGTGATGTTGTTAAATATCTAATGGGAAAAATGCAAAGCAAACATGTATAGGTAAGTTTCAGATAAGCACACATTTGTATTTGAACCCTGAGTTTGTACTTTTCTGGTCGTTTTAATGTTTCTATTTAATTCTTGCACAGGAACAATACGGAAGGAGCAAAAAGGAACTAGAGAGAGACTGGACTCTTAGGTCTAAATAGGTACTGTAAACTCTTGTATTTGTATAGTGGCATTGTTGTATATCTTATACCTGTGATAGATAAACGCAAATGTATATTCCAGAAAACAAAAGGACCGTAGCTCAAAGATAATATATGATAAAGATTGTTTATATAACACACCTATCTCAGGTCTTAGAGGCTTAAGCTACCAAACTGATTGTTCCAATTTTCGTAGATTCCGAGTTCGTTCTGAGAAACAGAAGGCCTTACTTCTTGCAATGCGTCTTTAAAATCCTGCATAAGGACCAAATATATGAAACAATGATAGAAACTAAAAGATTTTGTTAGCTTACATGTGTATTCACAGAGTCCGCATCGCGTAACATCAATTTAAGTTTAACTTGAAATGATGATACCACAAAATCTGCAGCTTTATTTTATGTACCTGCAGAGTTACAAGACGCATGTCATCTTTAGTCAGGTTAGTTATATCTATGCCTCGTTTGAGAGCTTCTCTTAATGGACCCATAGTTGCATCTTTCACCAGGTTCTTCATATCTGATCCCGAGTACCCTGCAGTGAATATTAAAGGAAGGCTAGCTTGGTTATGGCCAAAAATGTGTATTTGCATTTACATATTTGTGTTCTTCGGACTTTAAAGATCAAAACTCCACAGATTTGCCAACAATTTTACAGTGTTTCTGAAGTTTCTATGATAAATATAAATTTTATTTACCTTCAGTTAGGTTACATATGATGTTCATATCATCATCGGACAGAGTAAACAGCCCATCTTTCTGTAGGAGATTCTGTATAATCCATGCTCTTGCTTCTATAACTCAAAAAGAGAATCATGTCAAGACAGAGCTTTTAAAGAAAACCAGAGAATGACTTGAAAACGTGTGCTTCTTTACCAGATGAAGGAAGAGGAATGTAGAGTCTCTTGGTTAGTCGTCTTCTTGCTGCTTCATCGAGCTCCTGGGGTCTATTTGTTGCTCCTGATCAAACAAAAACAATAAGCAGCTTAAAGTTTCTAAACCCACAGAACCCACAAAACTCAAACCCGACTGTTCCCATCTTTTACCTATAAGGAGAATTTGCTCACTGCCACTGTCAAAACCTTCCATTTCAATCAGGAATTGAGTCTTGAGTCTTCTACTTGATTCGTGTTCACCATCTGACTTACGCTGTGCAAAGGATGCAAGTTCGTTTCTTTAATAAAATGTTACATAAGGAAACCTAAAATGTTAATTCATGCCAGAAATTGTCTTTGCTTTTTTCCTGGCCTTGTTCTATGCTGATCGGTTTTAAGGTTTATCAACATTTAAAGATGTAAGTGATTACAACAAACCTGAGATAGTAGAGAATCTATTTCATCGACAAATATTACTGCAGGCTGGCGGCAACTCGCAACTCCGAAAAGGGCCCTCACTAACTTTTCACCTTCGCCAATCTGCATTTACACTCATTTGATTATTAAATTTGCAGGTAACTGTAAGCAAATGAAGAAGCATGCAAAGGGCATCTTGAGCAGAAACAAAATCACTGTCATAGAGAAACTGATGGGGGTTTTTCCTGCTATGTAGAAGTTCTGACATAGTGGAAAATAATTACTGAAAGTAAGCAAAGGAGTGGAACTAACCCACTTGCTTGTCAATGAACTGGCTGATATGTAGAAAAAAGTTGCTTTTGCTTCTCCAGCTATAGCTTTTCCAATCATTGTTTTACCGGTTCCCTGGAATGCAGTCGATACAGATCTAAAAACACAGACAGAATGGCAATATACTTCGATATCAAATTGGACAAGGTACCTACTGGTGGGCCAAAGAGAAGAAGTCCTTTTCCAGGTGAACGACAACCTTTGAAAATGTCAGGACGCAACAATGGCCAAATGACCATCTCAGTTACACACTTTTTAGCATGCTCCAGACCAGCTGCACACCAATAAGTTATGATGAAAAACTCCACATACAAAGGGATATAATGCACACTGCATCCAAACATGTATTTATCATCTTACTGTACCGATATCATCCCAGCGGACATTGGGGTCTCGATCCATAATTTCGTTGCTGACATGCTCTATTAGACGAGGCTCCAAATTTCTCAACTTCTCAGGAAGCTCACCATCAGGACCACAGAGCATCTCCAAACTAGGACAGCATAATAATTAATGAACATGTAGGTTATCTCAGAATTTAAATTAAACATATCAGTCTTACAGGCATAGAAGGCTACTGAATTTTTAGAGCTTATGTGAAATAGCATTCTAAACAAGAACGAGAGCCTGACCATCAGATGAGTATAGATGCTTCAAATTACAAAGATGGCGTCAGGAATTACTTATACACGAAACCTGAATTGATAAATGTATATACAACTAAAAACAACACCTCAGCAGATTTGAACCATAACTAAGGGATCAGGAATAGTTTAGACTTGCGAATTAATTTTCTAGTGCTATGGAAAATTATTGTTGATTCAGTATCTATAGTACTATTGTTGATTCAGTATCCATAGTGTTTCAATGTGAAATAAGTACACAAGCAATGTATAATATAGAAACTTAGTTAGAGAAGGGCAAGGACATGCATAGCACATGAAAACCAAGAGCTAGTGATAAGAAATAAAATAAGCTTAAAAATTGTAGAAGGTGAGGATATCAAAAGGGTGCATGTGCTTTCCATTTTGATAAGAATCTTAGAACAAAAATTTATGAAGTTACACAACTAACCATGTTCTGGTTGAGTCATCCAGTGCATCATCGGTCTTTCCACCAATACGAGACGTCAAATTTCCAACATTATTCCCATTAGATTTAACAGGAGGGACAAAATTACCACGGTATCCACGTCTTAATCCACCCGATCTAGAACCATATCCCCTACCTAAAGCATTTTTTTCACTCTGTGGAGAAAGACATGAACTTGGTGACTCGGTTGATCCTCGTCTTTGTCTTACATCCATTTCCTAAAGAATAGAAAGATAGCAGTCAGCATTAGCAACGGGTAATGAAGCACAGTCAAAAGATTAGACTCTGCAAGGTCAAAATGACTCTAAGAGAAGTAATAGTCACGGAAATATTTACCAGTTTTATTTTGGCAGATACAAATCCATTAGCAGCTCCTCCATCTGCCTTTATTTCTCCATCATTTGTTACGCTGTTGGTCTCTGCATGAGTTCGCTTTGTTCCAAAACCAAATCCATGACTTCTCTCCACAATGACACATTCATCAGAAGCACGGTCCAGATTGTTCATGGAAGTTCTGCGTTGATTATCTGGTTTAGCCATGCTGTTCCCATACAATGATGTCAGTTTGGCTTGCATCATTGACTTTGGTGCTTTGGGACTCAACTTATCTGTATCCTGTTGTTCTTCCTGGAAACAAGAAATCATCTTATGTCAGAGAGTATGTGATGCTCACATTAAGCATCATAGTAAGGCTTATAGAAAGCATAGTAGAAACAGGAAGAAAGGACATGTAACATGGCTGCATTTAAAAAACTCATCCCTAAGAGCATGAGCATACAAGAAACGAAGTTATTTACAAGAGCATTACCATCTCTTTAACACCCTTTTCATTAGACTGACTGAGTTGAAAACCAAAGTGCCTTGACTGCTTAATCTTTTCCACATCAAATCCACCTTTTCTGCCAAAAATAGGACCTGGGGCTGTTTTTGCAAGTTCAAACGCTTTCCTGGAAAAAACAAGAATCACACCATAAAAGGGTACTCCAAAAAACGCTAGTGTAGCTAAATATATAGCTGAGCTTCATAAGAACTTTGGATTTCAGCGAGTAACTAAGTAAACGAGCTCCAAAGAGTAAAGAGTAGCATTCAAATATACATTTCAGCATCAACTTTACCCATGACAGATATAACAGATTTGTAATTCACAGATTTTCAAAACCCAACAATTCAAGCCACGCTCATAAGAGTCAATTAAGCTCAGAAAGTAAAATTCGAACCAAAATACTTCGAATCTAAACAGGCTTAAAGGGGTAAGTCTCAAGTACCGATCCGAATCTGAAACGAGGCCTTCCAGAGCCAAATCGACCTTAGAGGCAACTTCTCGGCGAATAGGACTGATGAAATCACGATCGGTGTCTGTAACGGAGCGAGAATCGAGGAAACCTAGAAGACGAAGCCCAAGGATCTGAGCGGAGGAGAAATCAGATTTCTCTAGAAATTGGTCAGCGCCGAAGAGCAGCGATTGAAGACGCTTCAAGTTCTCGTCTACCTCCTTTCTCCAGCACGACGACGTCTCCGTTTCTCCTTCCTCCTTCATCAGAAGCTCCGGTGGTGGTCTCAGCAACGGAGAAGAAAACGGCGACGAACGCTTTCCCGCCATTATTATCCTCTCTCTCTCCTCTTCTTCCCCAAAATGGCCAAAACCCCAGAAATAAAATTTCAAATTCGCGCTCTGAATCTGATACCTCCGACCCACACCCACACGCCTTTACTTTCAGTCTCTCTCACTCACTTGACGTGTAAACATCCTGCTATGTAGTAGTGTAAATAGGAAACGGCATGAAGTTTTCTAGAAATCAGATAATGGCCCGTTAGCAGCCCATTATTGTGTGTATCTGCGATTTTACTGTTTCAGTCTTTACATATGTGTCCTATAAAAAAAACTCGTGTAGTTTCAAAATTTTGTCTCTCAAAACGGTATGTAGTTTCCTCAGATATATGTTTTCTATTTTTAAGCATAAATTTGATGTTTTTAAAAAAATATATCAATATGAAAATCTATAAGTAAATATTTTGTTTAGTTGTTTATCAATTCAGTTTTCACTATCCTAAATTCTTGCAAAAATTTAACTTAGTTATGTATTTTTATATATAAAAAAAAATTATTATCTGACAGAAGACTCTCCATATATATTGGATTACATTTTATTTGATTTGTTTTGTTATTCTTTTGTTTTCTTAATATTTAACATGAATTTTTTTCTATCACCATTACTACGAAGAAGATAAATTTTCTAAATATTTGGATATTTAATTCAGTTTTTTGGATATATATAATTATTTATTTTGCAAAATCAATGTAAAAATATTTTTTTGTACAATGTTGTCGACTTGCTTTATTGGATCCAATTTTAAGGCTCACATTATAATCCAATAGAAACAAAACAATTGCACATCAGTAGTAGAAGTATTATGCATCACAAAACTGGTAATGCTTAACAATTTTAACTAGGGAATAATAGTGTAAAATGCTGCATCTTAGCCATGAGTTTTGTTTTTAGATAATTATTACATTTTCCTGCTTTTCAACAAAAAAAAAAACTTTTTTCTGCTCCTTATTGGTTTTTTACTTATCAGTTTATTTTTAAGCTATAATTTCGAAAATTGTAATAAATTTAGCTTTTGACTTTTGAGGTAGTTTTTAGTTTTTGATTTTGAATATTTTGTTTTTATAACCTTTCGAGATTATAGAAATTAATTTTATTAAAATTTGAGAAAAAAGATTTATAACCTATTTTCAAGAAAAACCAAACACCATACTAGTTTCTTTTAAACAAACTCAGTCGATATAGATCAGATTGTTCCGAATGATTAGGATATAACAATCTCTCTTAAATTTAAACACAATTTTACAAAAGTTCAAGACATATATATATATCACAAGATGGGCAATCACCAGCTTTCACCAAAACCTCAAGATGAATAACAGCGATTAGAGTTTCATCGTGTGGCACGCCACAATGTTTTATTCAATCATACACACACACACACAAAAACAAAACCATAAGTTAGCCCAGTTTTGCTCTAGCGAAGACTCTTAAGCAATCATTACACAACAGTTTAGGATAAAATGGTTGAGCTTCACGCCACAGCAGCGTTTAGACTCCTCCCAATGCAGCTTGTTCTCAGGATCAGGGGACGGGAGACACGTGTAAACGGACATTGTCTCGGCTCTAGACGGACCCGAAGATGCTCCGATCACAAGCAGCTTGTCTCCAAGCGACTTAAACGCTACTCCCCATCCTCCATTAGACTTAGCTCTCACAGGCACATCTCCAAGCTTCTTCCAGGCGTTTGCCTTTGCATCATAAACACGAAGCTCGTTCGCGGAAGTTTCCAACGAGTAAAGATTATTATTAACCACGGCGATGAGTGGGGGAGATTGAACAGAAGAGAAAGACATGTCTTTGAGAATGTCCGGTATTAGTTCCCATGTGTTTGTCTTCTGGTCGTAACTTTCTCCACAAGTTAGGTTTTGACCGTTCTCATCCCGGCCTCCGAGAACATAAAACTTGCCGCGCAGGTAACATCCGGAGCAGAACTTCCTCCGCTTATGCATTCCGCGGAGTAGTGTCCACGTTTTGGTCTCAGAGTCGTACTTCTCCACTCTGTTCACAACTTCCATAGTCCCGTTCCCATCTATATTCAACCCACCAGCTACATACACAACTGTCCCACAGGTAGCAGAAGCGAACAAGATTCGCGGCGTGATCATCGCAGGACCTTTGAACCATTTACTCGTCTCCAGCTCATACCGCCACAGCGCAATGCTACTCTCTTCTTTCCCAGTGACAATCAAATGAGTCCCGGCGCAGAGCGATTCTTTATCACCATTAAGGAAGCATATGTCAGAAGGAAGTTCAGGAAGCTTCTGAAAATTATCAAAATCCTTATCAAACATAGTCCAGCTCGTATCCCCACTCGACAGCATAAAGACAGAGGGCTCAACAACACCGCGCTCTCTTCTCACCTTGTAAACCTCATCGCTCTTTAGCAAACTCGAAAACCCTTTATTAAGTAACTTAAGTTTCCAATACTCGAAACGCGGCACGCGTGCGAGTATCTCGACCTCTAGCTCGTAAAAGAGCTGAGGAACGTTTAGTAAACAATAATCTGCATCCTGAGGTCTCAAACAAGTAGCCTCATGAGTGGCCTCCCCTGTTTCTTCCCCATCATAATCCAAACAAGGCTCTGCGTTAAGATCAGGAATCTCGTAGCCATGTATTCGAAGCTTCTTTGGCCTAGACCTCATCGAACTTATCCGGATTATACCGGTATGATCTTCTCCTAGCGTCAACATACTTTTGTAATATCTCGACCTAGTATGCTTTTCACATTCCCCTTCTGTAAAAAAAATTAACCCAAAAACTAAATCAGAATTAAACAGAACCGAATAAACAAATTCAGATAGAGAATCAATCGTAAAAGCAGTTTCCAACAAAGATCCAAACTTTATTGGATAGAACATACAAACAAAAGATAAGATTTAATCTTGGACTACTTAAGTTCGAAAATAAATGATTTGTATAGTAATTGAAATCTTTTAAGTAATCGAATCCAACAAAAGTAGACATTTACGGAAATTAGATTTAAAAATTAAAAAAAAATAGCTAATCCAAGTTCTAAACAAGCAATTAGACAGATTTGACTAAGATTAAAAGAGTTAACTAGTGATTAAAACAGCAAAGCCCTAAACACACACACAGAGATGTTCGAATAAGTTACCAAAGAACAAGTAGAGAGATACCAAAACCCAGATAATTAACAAGAGTAATTAAGTGTATAGGTTTTGTATATATATATATATACCTGAAGAAAAAAATTAGTCAAAAGTCAAAGATGAGAGAACAAGATTAGAGTAGAGAGCTAGAATCAAAGAAACTTACAGGGGAAGGACTTAAAATAAAAACCCTAGAAGTTTTTTTCTTTTTCTTAAGCTTCTCTTCTCTCTTCTTTGTCTTGCTTCCTTCTTATTCTTCATCTGTAAATAAGAAAACAAATCAGAAATACAAAAAGAGATGACGAGAGATTTGAAATATTATATACCTAAAAGAGAAACTAATCTTTTTTACAAATTTAATAATATAATTAACAAAGAGCTTTAAAAAAAAAACGAAAGAGAGAAAAGGTAAGGTACCCACCCTCACTTGCTGGGGAGATTCAAGCTTAATTTAGAATACTTCAGAAACAAAAAACTTAACTTTATATATATATATATATATATATATAATTATATAATGGAATAATAAAGTATTCTTGAGTGAGAAAGAACAAAGACAAAACCATGTTCGGTTCATCTTCAAGAATCACCGGTAAAAACTCGAAAAGGCCAAGATTTTATGAATAGAAAATGTAATGATATTATCTTTTAATTAAGTGTGACTGTGTTTGAGAGACTATGCGTGGAAGAAGAAGAAGAGACAAAAGATTATAAAGTTTCTTCTTCTTGAAAATTTAAAAGAAATAGAAATGGTGGTCACATTTTTCTAATCTTGAAAACAAAAAGCTTTAATGTTTATATATAAAAAGAAGCATATTAAATATTAGTCGGCATATACTGTAGATTGGAATATTCTACACTACTGCCCTCTATTGTTATTATAATCAACAATTTGTGTAAAGTAAATGTGTTTGTTTTTAGAATCCATACTATGTTCATACTTTTAGTGATTATGTACATATTTATATTGATTATATTGTTATCATATATATACTACTGCAAGTAGTTAGTTTTCTATGAATGCATTACACATATAGAAATATATATTAGTTTCTTAAGATTCGTGAGAACTTGGGTTGCGAGTTTAATTTACTCGACCTCCTTCATGCGAAGACTAATCTTTCATATTGTAAAGACACTTATACAAAGTCACTATATAATTATACAGTCGACCCTTTTTCTATTATTTTTTTGTATGCAATTAAGATGGGTTTAACACTTTAACCTCAAGGGGGAAATCGAATATATTTGGATTGTTGTTGAACAGAAAAATAAAAGAAAATATATGTTTGGTTTGTTATTCTGTGTATATAATTGTGAATTGGTTTACACTGTAATTAGCTTTAATATTTTAATTTGTCTTTTTCCTGATTTAATTTAAGACATTGGTTTGACCTTAAAAGCACCATTGAGAAAACACAATGCATATGTTCAGTTGAGTATCGGATCATCTTTCTAATAGCTTATACAACTACTAAGGATAGCTTGGCTTAAGTCAGTTTAGCAGAGAACTAAGATGCCTACTTAGATTTCGAAATTTTTCATATTTTATGAGAATTTTCCTATTTTAAATCCATATAACATTTTCATAATCATTTATAATTATAACGATTAACATATACAACTTTATTTTTTCTCAATTTCTGTTTTGCGTTTACTTTATAAACTATATTTTTTAATTCAAATAGGAAAATGGTATACTGTATTTATTATAGAGAGATTTTTATAAAATTTTGTTAAATGTGATTATCATTGGTTACTAAATTTTTGAATAAATAATAAATGAACGACATACTTTGTAAATAGTTTCCAAAAATCCAGAAATTATTTCAAAAAGTAATTTAAAAATGTTAATATAGATTTGCAAATAAATTTAATTAGCAAAGTAAAAATATATTTTGTAGTGTACTTAAAATATGATGAAGAGAACAACTAAGATCATATTATTATGAAGGAGAAGACTGTGGCATGATGTGAGCATGAATATTTATGATATAATATCAAACTGCTCGAACATCCATTAAAATCCAAACTATTTGCCGAATAACATAAAAATTTTAAAATAATAATAATTTATCAGAAATGTATACTTCATCTTTAATTTTTAAAACTAGAAGTTCAAATAATTAATTTGATGATTAGAAGTTTATAAAACATATATAAAAATAGTTAAATTATAGGAGTGTAGTCCGTGTGAACGATTGATAAAATTATAATATTCGTTATTTGCTTTGTGTGTGACGAATATAAATTTTTAACATTTAATTTGCTTCACAGAGTTTGGATATCCTGATTTTTCGAATAGAATCGAGTCAAATAACAGACTAAATCGAATTTAACCAATATTTTTTTCACCCTTAACACGATGACAACTTTAGACTTCAAAAATATCTTTTACAGTCATTTTTCTTTTCTTTTGCTTTGACTCTTTGTTCAATGGTATGGTTTAGATGATGTTCTCTTTTCTCAATGGTCTATATGATTCCTCCATGTCAAGAGTCTAAGGTGATCATGTACTTTCTTGTCTTTAATTGTTTTTCTTTGTTTTTAAAGGTTCCATAGGTTTGTTTTTCAAATAAGTGGTGTAGTTCTTTTGTTGATTAGTCAGTAATGTCTTTGTTCAATTCATATTTTATTATTTATAAGACAACCTAAATTTTTAGATTACAAATTAAAGATATCAAAGTGTGGTCCTATCCTATATTAATCTCAAATCGTGAATGATAGCCAACGCACCCATGAAAATATTTTACACAAAACATGATTTTCTGAATCATTATACATAACAAAATAAAATATGAAAATTTGGATAATGACAATAAGAAGTCGACATTTATCATATAAATTAAAGTCTGAAAGTTAGTCCACTAGAGAAATTAAATGTAAAATATCCCAACCCAAAATGCCAGAAGTCGTATTCGGTGCAGGTTACCAAATGAGTTATTTAATTTTTATTACATTTGATGTTGGTAAGATTTTTTTCTTTTTCCATAATTAATTAATTTGCGATTTCGGGACTCGTTCTCGATATATGAGTATGACAATTCTATGCTTAATGCATCATCACTTTTTAAAACTTTTTTAAACATGACATTTTATAAACTAAGAATAATATATAGATATTATTAGAAACAATAAATAAACCAAAACCTTAGTTATCTGAACTCCTCCAAACTACAAATTCTAGATATTTACTATTTATTGATAAATTTACTCAATTTTTGTAAATTTAATAATATAATTTGTTCAACATAAAATATATATATATATATAATATGTTAAGAAAATTTAATATATAAAAACTTATTTAGTGTTATGCGAATAAATCACAACTATAGAAAAACAACAAATTATACAGAATTTTTAATAACTTTTTCCATAAACATAAGCATATTATTCGATCACGAACAAACAATTTTAGATATTGATAAGACAAAACCTCTTCTTGCATTTAATAAAATTTCATATCTTACATTTTAATAAGTTAAATTTTAAGACACAATTTAAGATTTGATTCTTACATATTTAGATCCAACTCAAGAACGCATTATTAAAAAAGAAAAACTAGAAATTGCATACGGCAGTCACGGCATTCACTTAGTTTAGCCAATTATTTAACAGTTCAAAAACATATAATTAATTATAAAACTGTGTGATCGCCATAGTAATAAACCAATCGCTGCACTAATAAACAACTTTGTTTGTCCTACCAAAAAAAAATAAAATAAACAACTTTGTTTCAAAGATTACACATAAAAAAGTACAATGATTTACGAATTTCCACGTTTATATCATAGATTAGCCGATTTAAAAAAGTATCTAAGACTCATTAGGAGATCGACAACTGCGTTATAAGCCAATCTTAACTCTTCTTTCTTTTCATCAAATCTACAATTTTTTAAATATCATCACGTAATAGATTTATTAATTAACACAAAAAGTACCTTTATTACACACACCTTAATATAAAAATACAATTTCTTTTCATATAGTAAAAGAGGAAGTTCACGTAGACAGTCACCATTATCTCCTCCCCACATGAAACTATTTTATTCATGATTTAGCTGACACATTTATCAAATAAACATATGTATTTTCAAAAATAATCTCAAATTTACGTTAAACCATAATCAAACCAAATTTAGCTAAGCTCGGTTCGGTTTTAGGTTACGGTTTCTTTTAAGACAAACACGTTTCTAATAATGGGCCTTATCCAACTAAATAAGCCCATATCGCTAACAGCCCATATATGTAACCCAGGTATAAATATCCGAACCCGGTTTCTATATTTTGACCCGTAATTGATCCACTAACCTAGAAATTGGGGGGAATTGAATCTTATCCACAATTCAATCTCTTCCAGTTTCATCATCTTCGTCTTCAACCTCGCAACGCGTTAATGGCGGCTTCGTTCTCACTCACGAGCTTCATCTCCTTCATTTCACCGTTCAAATCTCAAACCAAACCTACTCCGCCACCGAACATCACTCTTCCTTCTCCGAGTGTCACCCAAAGGCGAAGAAATGATCTCTCAATCGAATCAATGGCGGTTGATGAGTCTTCTTCTACCGGTTCTTCACTTTCCTCTGAGCTTGCCTCTGTGATTTGTCCATCGCTTGCTTACTCGAACACGCTCTTCTTCAGTTCGGGGTACAACGTGCAAGTGTTTGTTGAGGATAATGAGTCAGAGGAGAGGCTTGTGAATCGGTTTAGGAGAGAAGTGATGAGAACTGGTGTTATACAGGAATGTAAGCGAAGGAGATACTTTGAGAATAAACAAGATGAGAAGAAACGTAGGACTCGTGATGCTGCTAAGCGTAATAAGAAAAGGTTTCAACTTTACGTTTCGTGATTCTTTTGCTATAGTTTGTTTATAGTGAAGGATGCGTATGATGGAACAGTGATTGTGTATTGATGATTAGCTTGTGAAAGATTTAATGCTCAGTTTTTGAAAGCATCACTTTTGCCTAGCTTTAGTGGATTGAAATAGCAGAGATGGTCTCAAAGTTGAAATGTGATTCATGTTTCGACAATTTGGTGATTCTTTTCTTGTATCTGCTTTGGAGTGATTGGTTCATATGTTGAAACAGAGAATAAGTATTGATGATTGAGTTCAATGATAGTTAGTTTCTTATAGCTTGTGAAGATCTTGATACTTAGTTTATTAGAAACTATACTGTTTCCTAGCTTTAGATGATTGAAATAGAGACGTTTTACTACCAAATACGTCTGCTATGTTTATTTTGTGAGAATCCTTCTGCTATATGCTTCTAGTGATTGATTCATAAGTTCTTTTTGTTGCTTGTGAATATCTTGATACTTGTTCTTGAGAAGATTCACTGTCTTTCTTAGCTTTTAGAGGATTGAAATACTGAAGAGATGAGTCTCAAATATTTATGTGGTTTTTATGTTTCTTGGTGGCTTCTTTTTCAGACGTCCTCAGGCAAGGTTTACTCAAGAAACAAGAGAAGAAGCAGCAGCAGCAACTAAGAGTAAGAAAAAGGATGAGGAGGAAGACAACTGGGAGATGCCTGATGGAGATGTACCTTCTTAAAGCACAATTTCAGTAAATAACTCTCCCGGCATTTTGGTTAAATTTCGTATTATCCCGTTTTTATTACTTGGTACATCGTAAGTTGAAATGCATCAACTGCATATAACTTGCTTCTAGTATTGAGTTCTCTTGTTAATGTTAAAGGCATTTATATCTGTCTCCTAATGTTTTATAATGACTAAAATCCATTGCATTTACTGGGGGCTTCTCCATGGATGCTATATCACTTCATGTGATGCACTTTTAGGTATAGGTTTACTTGCATTTTATCCCCTTGAGTACCGTTCCTCATGTTCATGATCTCGAAAAAACTCTGTCGCTGCATTGGAGAGAAACTGCTAGCAAGGAGAGGTTAAATATATTAGTCTCACTTCTGACAACATCGAATGGTGAATCGCAGTTTTACTTGCAGGAGGTAGATGTCACATTGATATTCAAAACACTGCCACAAACAGTGATAACATGATTCAAAGAAGTGTGAAGTTCTCACGAAGTCACACTTTAACACATCATAGAATTTAATTGATCAGGTCATCAAGATGCCCAATGGGTGAAATTCATGAGCTGTAAAAGCCCATTAAAATCTGATTTCTGAAAAAAATCCACTTTGACACTCTTAATGGGCTCAATTTAGTATAGCCATTATTAATCATGTGATATCTTAATTATTGTGGTGATTTGCAAATCACGCCTACAAAATTTCCTTATCAAATTTTGATCATTAAAAAGTTGATCATTAGATATCTAGAGGTTAAGGAAGGTTTAATAATTAGGTTAGGTACATTTGATTAAATCATATGATTGAACCTTACAAATAGATTACAAGATTCTTCTTGTCTTCAACTTTTTTAACAACGAATCAAAATGAAGGGACGTAATGTAATGGAATACGTGTTCTTTCACTTATAATGTTTAATCATTAATATAAAATTTCAACTTTCGTAGAAAGTAAAGTGATGACATCAACAAAATAAAAATGAGAAAGTATAAGGGGGGTGTATTCAAAGTGAAATTTCAAGTTATTTGTAAAAAGTTTACAAATTCTGTGTTATTCAATCATGGATTTTTAAAAGTCTTATGAAATCCACTATTATTTAACTAATTATTTTAAAATCCACCTTAAAATCCGCTGTTATTGAAAACAGTTTGTGGATTTGATTTTAAATGATTTCAAAGGATTTCAGAGGATTTCATGAAACTTCTTTAATTAAAAATACAAGAATCAAAATCTCAAAGTTTTATGTGGGATTTGAAAGAATTTTACATAAATTATATGAAGTTCCCTAAAATCATCAAAATCTCAATAAAACTCAAATCTCTTAAAATGTTACTTCCAATACACCCCCCTAAGTGTCTGTTTGGAATCTATAGGCCAGTGGGTGAAATTAATCAATCACTTGTAATTAAGAAAACGAAATATTCTAATTAATTCATGCATCATTATGATATGTTTCACTAATTAATCTTTTTGATTAGGTAAAGAAGCAACCAATTGGATAAGAGTTCACCCGTCAGCGATCTTTAAAATACATATTCCATCATTACGATTTGTTTTGAATGCAAAACAAGAGCAAAATGAAAAGCATACTTTTGATTGATAGTTTGATACAAATCACTGAAATAATCATCATAAATTATGTTGACTAACAAGTATGTATAGCTGTAATTTAAACATCGATCAGAAACTAAAACAATCATATGAAAGTGCAAACACAAATTTCAAACTCATGGAAACATAAAACATAAAACATACATACATATAATCAATTGTGTAGCAAGCAACTAGCAAAGGTAAGGCAATATTGATACCAAAATAGCAAGACCCTATTTCTAAATGGACTTAACATTGTTTAACAGATCTAAGACATCATAGAAAAGAACATAAGTGTTCTTTATTCCAAAGCATATTGTAAAGTATCGTTGATGTTTTTCTAAAAAAAAAGGACACAAAACATAGTTGATGTTGGACGTTTTTGTTTCTTTATGCTCAAATTGGATTCCGTGTTAAGTGACGGTTGTGGTGGAATCTTTTTTATATACAACTAGATTAACAAGTTGTCAACTCTTTCCATCGAATTATTGAGTTTTTTTTTTTTTTTTTTGTTAATAAGTTTAACATGAATCATACAGTTAGCTTAGTGGTCCTGACCTTAATGATACATTGATATTTATATATACAAACCTATAATTTTCCTTTTTTAATTTGTATTTGCATTTACATGTTATAATCTACTTGAAAATATCTCTCAGTGGGAACTGACAATATGACTATACATGATGAAGAAGAGAACTTATTTGGAGGTTTCTGCATGCATGTCATTTGTTGAAGTTAGAAAATGATTCAAGAAGATGAGGAAAAATATTTCTGAACCGGAAGTGTGAAACTATATATGTTGGGCGAACTGGTACAAATCAAAGAGAGTACTTTTGTAAAAGATGTATCATCTATCTTCATTCCCTTTAATTACTGAAAAACCAATGAAGTAATAATATATTATAGGAAAATATGTTAATCTTGGTCTTGTAAAAGATGTATCATTTATACTTATACGTACATTCAATAAAATGCTACTTAATTTATATATACGAATATTAAAATTATTAAAAATACTACTTGGCAATTTATATATATATATTAAGAATTAAACTTCGTTTTCGATTTTGTCAAGAAAAGAAAAAACGTGAAAGTTGTTGTCTGGGTCGTGTGGTCGGAGAGAAGCGCAGGTTCGACGTCGTCTTCAATCGTCAATAATGAGTATTATTTTCCAGTTTTATAATCTTATCCAAATCATATATTTCTAATAGTGTACACATTACACAAATAGTTTATCTACAGTTTTTCTTATTATCTATCTAAAAATACCAAATAATTAAGTCCATATATACTCCATAGACTCGACTTTATTCTCTGAAACACACTTAGTGAAAGCGAGCTATATCTTTATATATTTGATGATAGATGTTATGTTTTCCATTTATTTCATTGTATAAAACGTATAACATGTCTGTTTTTCAAGATAATTTCTCGTGTTATCTTTTGTCCGTTTATTCTTTATATACTTCTAATTACTATACGTGGTAAATCGCTAAAGACTCTTTGACTATAAAACTTTCAATATTAATGTAAAAGCATTATACAGAAAGAAATAAAAAAATCATATGAACTTATGAACCCTTAAAAATAAGAAACAAAAAGTCACAAGAACGAAGAGAGAACACGTGTTTGATACAAGAGACAGCCAAATTGGATCAGATCCGGTCGGAGAAAGGACAAGTATTCCTAGGCCCATTGAGAGAGACAAGATCGCCGTTCAATAGATTCTTCTTCTTCGATCAATCACTTTGGTGGGCGTAATGACTAATGAGCTACTACGTCTTACTTACCAACTACGTACGTGTCTATGTTGGTTTCTTGATGTTAACCAAACTTATTATGGTCGTACGTAGTTTGCAATCTCTATATAGTATATACTAATGTAATATACAAAAACACAAGATTGTATCCATTTTATTTACATATGTGGGTTATGTAATTTACATGCGACGGTTAAGCTCTTAATCTTGGAAACGATTAAAAAAAAAGAATATCAAACAAACAAAAGATTATATATAGTAGAACAAGTTGTATTAAAAAGCTGTCTGTTTGATCACCTCAAGAGTTGAGTTTTTTTGCGACCGTTAGATCTCTCTCGCTACATGAATCCAACGTATATGAACTGTTATGTTACAAATAAGTTTGAAAAGTACTGAATGATCTGTCAGATGTAATGGCTGAGTTGGAACTTACCTTTAATCCACAGTGTGACATTTGTCAATTTTCAACCAATACAAAACCAACTGGATGATCCTTTTTACTGTTTTTTTTTTGTCTATATAGTTCTTTTTTTTTAATTAAAAACTAGGTCCGGATCCGCGCTACAGCGCGGAGGAAAATTACCGGATTTTTAGTCCTTTGTACGTTGCGAGATAATTTTATTTGTGTTTGCTTTACTTTATTTTGATCAGTAATTAAATTTTATCATTTTTAGATTGTATGTGTTGGTTTCGAATATGTTCAAAATTATTTAAATTGTATGATTTTAGTTGGATTGTTAATTTTAGAACAATATGTGACATATATACATGTATAAATATTATACAATGAAAAAAAAATATTATACAGTGAATCATTTTTAAAATTTAGGGATTGACACGCGGTACACCGCATAATTATAAATACATGATTTTAACTTGGACTTTTCATGCAGTTTTGTAAAGTTGCAAATCTTTAGAATAAACAAATAAAGAGCCAATGATTTCTTATTTCTTATCGTGTTTAAATGTAAAATCTGTGTTGATGTTACAATTTTCTGGTAGCAAAAACTTATTTATATAGATCATATTTTCTTAGGGTTAAATTGAAAAAAGATTAGTTTTATAATCAAGCCAGAAATTCGAAACTATTGCCAAATAAATATTAAAGATGGTCATAGAGAAAAAAATATATATTAAAGATGGTTGAAAATGAAATATACCGTAACTGGTGTGAAAATCATAGTTAATATAGGAGAAAACTATACATCCAAATATCAATATAGTATATTTAAGGAAGATTTTGTTTTGAAATATTATGGATAATTTGATAATGATTATTTTATATTTAATTTATATTTCTGATTTTTAGATTAATTTGTTAAACCAATATACAAAATCATACATTAATGTATTTTTCCTTAAACAAATTAAGATTAATGTACTTTCCCAAACCGATATTGATGGTTTAATTTGGTAGATTTCGAAATAATATATATGGAAACTGGTATTTAATATCCTTAAATTTTTAGTAAGATCCAACTGAAAATTCCGGGTTAAATTTTTTTTTTAAAACCCGACCCAAGAAGCATTTGTACTTCTCTTTTACTATAGTAGGGATTTAATTAAACCGTATAAGATATAGACAATTACGACGCAACAATATTTAAACCCCAGATTTTGATAGTTCTTCTTCTTGTAACCAAATCCGAGTTTTGGCGAGTTCTATGTGTGTTATGTACTTATTAATCAATGTAATTGTGTAAGAATATGTGCCATACACAGCCGAATCTTATGTTAAACTACAATTTCATATAGTTTTATATTTATAAGATATATATATGTACACCAATAATATATATGTATAAGTATTTCATGATTATTATAAAAAATATCACAGTATTTC